GATTGTAAAGATCAATAAACGTGTTTCATTAGTTTTTGATGTTTGGAACTAATTCACAGTTTTGGAGGAAGCAAGTGTTTTACTCACACGGGTGTGGAAGAATCGTGATATATTAAACGTGATTTATTAATATAAATGTTTAGCATTAATTAACAATTTGGGTGGAAGCAAATGAATTCAAAAATTTTACTCACAAGTCCAACATCGAATGGACGCACGGTTGGAATTCTAGGACAAAAACCTCGGCTTGTCACTTGTCCATAAACTGACGAAAAACCTAGAGCAATCCCGAAGAGCACCCTGATGATGGTCATGTCTCCTATATGAAAAATGCCACTACTACTCAGACTCCCTTTGATTTAATATATACCTGTCCTAATGGGGCACAGGCAGGTGTCAGAGAAAATCCTCAGGGCCGTCATTAATTGTCTATTTTAGTGTCCATGCACTTAAGGAAGAAAAAACAAACAAATCAGACAAACAAAATAATCCTTCAATATTCTACACATTCCTGTCTGGGCATTAAAGAAAAAAAAACTTGCTTGATCTGGAACTAACAGGTACATTTGTCGTCCATTTCAATTCATTAGCATTTTTACATAAAAGAAATCATCTCACGTGCGTTGCATCTTTATGCACGTGTGAAAAGTGAATAAAATAAAGGTCAAATCCTTTATTTGAATGACTAAGGAAAAGGCAGTTTTTGATAGTCCTTAAAACTAAATTCAAGTTCATAAACTCATCCTCCCATTTAGGATGAGGATAGATAAAAGGGAGATTAGAACTTTAGAAAGTTAAGGTCAGATGATTATGTTCCTCGTCGATCAGAAATCGAATTTGTAAATTTGTTGTTATGTGTACATGTATACGAAATATTTAATTATAATTACCTGTTGATTTCTAAACTTGTTTCTATTTGTCTTAAAATAATCAAATTGCAGAAACAAATTTTATATTGAATATTTAAGTTATTTCCAAAAGGGTTATGTAGGAAACAGCATCCTTTCGCATCTTGCACTAAGGTGCGTCAATTTTTTGTGAGGAGACACGTTAAAGGAGCAAGAATTCATTCTATAAATCTTGGAAAAAATAATATATTGTTTAGGAACGTATCGTTTGTCCTTAAAAAACTCGATCCCTTCTAGCATATATTATCTGTCTATAAATCTGCCTTGTAATAAAAATCAATTTCTTTTAGATTTTATCTTCTCTGTATTTTCAGCAAACTTTATCATCATCATCTTTAGAAACTTTTCTTCTCTGCATATACCATTTTCTGGATAATGAATTTTGAAGATTTAGAGTCTAAAAGAGTATTTTTTTTAAAAATTGAATAAACGCGCACTTTTGATTGATAGGAGTAGTAACAATTAAAGCTTTACGATTATGCATGAAGTGTACCAGACCGTTTTGAATTGAACTACGATGTAAAATGACCACTTATTTCGTAAGTTACGTCAATGCATGTAATTGAATCAATCAAAACAAAGCTTCGGCGCATATTGTTATAAAATCTTCTGTCATCCTTAGACTTTCAGTAGGGCGTGGCATTCTGGGCGCTACGTAATTAACGTCTCTCAAATGGTGAAAAAATTCTCATTGGTTTAGAAATTAATAACATACGGAACTTTAAATTGTTGCTGACAAGGTTGAAACGACTTTTAAGCCCCACCTCTTTCGTCTAACGAGACACTGTTTTCGGATATTTGCTACACTCGTTGACATTCGCCTGAATTTCTATCCCATGTATATTTCAACAGTGAATGAAGCTGAGTAAATTTCAAGACTCTAGTTATGTAACGTCCAGAATTCCCCGCCTTAATCAAAGTCCAAGGTTAACAGAGATTTGTACTAAATCAAACAATTTTCCTGAATTCCTGCAGAAGGTGCCTAAGTCTGATGAACTGATACACACGTATTCCGAACACCTCTGTCAGTATTTCTTTAATTATATGAAAGTTTCCAGAAAGTTCCAAAATAAAATCATGAATAATGATAAGGTTACTCAAAGCTAATAAAACAAGTCAAATATTGTAATTAAAAGCCAGGTTTAATTGTCTAAAAAGAATAATCACAAATAATATAAACGGAGATAGAATAAAATAGGCTTCCTAAAAATTCAACGTGCTAAAATTATTTACACATTAAATTCAGCTTATACATTGCTTTTATATATATAAACATTTAACTAAAAATAAAAACTCGAGGAAAAAAACTAAAAGTCATCAAATATATTGCTTCTATACATGGGTTAAGATGAGATGAAAACAATCTAGTCAAATGTAATCATTTTCCTTATATGTTTACATTTTTCAAGTTATCTTTTAATCAAAAAATGGGGCATTAAATAAATTCTCCTCAAAAAATGTATAAAACAAAAGAAATCACTGTTAACAGGGTGGTTAAGTTATGAAAAAAAATCTTTAGTTTTCATTTTCTAATTTTTTTAAGCCAATTAACGTTGCATTCCCTTAATATAAGAAATGTACCTCCTATGACAGAAGAGTGGCAGTGAGAAATTAAATGCTGATCACACCCCTTTCTCTCTCCTTGCATATAATATATACAATATACAGGGAAATTTTCATCCATGCCCTTCCCTTAGTTGTGAGGATGTACAACTCAAAGATATACATATAAATTCTAAACCAGAATCGTTCAGGGCAAATTTAAGATACAGCAAAATTGTTTGCAAGTCTGCTCTCTATTTAAGACCATGAAAGGGCGAAAATAAAGCTGAAGAAAATAAGGCTATGTAGAGTAAACTAATCCAGCTAGGAGTTTATATGGAAAAAATGTGAACTCCATACTTAAAAAAACAAGAGATGTTTATAAAACACTTATGCCCCCCTCCCCCCAAATTGGAATTTTCCCAAGTCCAAGGGGCAAAACTCTGTCAAAAATGGCACGATTGTACCCAAAACATAACTTGACCTAGATATTCATCTGATAAATCTGTATACTAAATTTCATCTCAGCATGTGCAATGGTTGTGAAGAAAATGAACGGAAACTGCAAATAATTGTAATTTTTCAAAGTTCAGGGGGCATAACTCTGTCAAAAATGGTGCAATCATATCTAAACCAGAACTTGACCTAGATATTCATGTGATATATCTTCATACTAAATTTCATTTAAATATGTGCAACGGTTGTAAAGAAAATGAACGGAAACTGCAAATAATTGAAATTTTTCTTAGTCCAAGGGGCATAACTCTGTGAAAAATGGTGCGATTGTACCCAAAACAGAACTTGACCTAGACATTCATCTGATAAATCTGTATACTAAATTTCATCTCAGTATGTGCAACGGTTGCAAAGAAAATGAACGGAAACTGCAAATAATTGGAATTTTTCTAAGTCCAAGGGGCATAACTCTGTCAAAAATGGCGCGATCGTACCCAGAACAAAATTTGGCCTATATATTCATGTGATATATCTTCATACTAAATTTCATTTAAGTATGTGCAACGGTTGTAAAGAAAATGAATGGAAACTGCAAATAATTGAAATTTTTCTAAGTCCAAGGGGCATTACTCTGTCAAAAATGGCGTGATCGTACCCGAAACAGAACTTGACCTAGATATTCATGTGATATATCTGTATACCAAATTTCATTTCAGTATGTGCAACGGTTGCGAAGAAAATGAACGGAAACTAAGTGGATCGACAGACCGACGGACCGACAGACCGACCGACAGACAGCAGCAAAGCAATATGCCCTCCCTTCTTCGAAGGGAGGCATAATTAAAATAGTTCGACAAGAAATTGGTTACAAATAAAATAAATGGTTTTCTGAGATCTTTCACAAAATGTGTCTGCAAGTAGTTTATTTTAAAAAATTGCCTGCCTTTTGTTTTTGGGTTTTTTTTTTTTTTTGCAACATCAAGGATAGAAAAATATTTTTTTTCCAAATTTCAAAAAATGCAACATCTGTGATACAATATTGAAAAAAATTAGTCGCTGCCTCACCATTAAATAAAACAAAATACTACCCTAGATATAAAGAATAAAAATAATATACACACATTTTAAAAATCATTTCAATAAATAAACTGATGGTTGGTGAAAAAAAATGTTTGGTTTGGTTTTAAATAACACATTAAAATAACACATTTGTTTACATGTATCATCAAAAATTTGCACTGTTAAAATACAATAGTTATTTATAATGTTCATGCTCCCCTCAAAATACATTCTTTTCATAAAAGAATTTTTTCCACAAAAAACACTAATACTATTTTCTGATTCAGGAACTTGACAATATCCAACATTTTTTTTTTCATTTTAACCTTTTACATTATCTTAGACCATGACCAATAATGTATATTTTATGTATGTGTGTTATGTGCAATTTGTAAGAAATACTCTTGACTTGAATAATAGACCAAAGAAAACTAGTTGTAGAGAACAAGCAAGCACATGGAAATATAAATGTAGGTCATGATAAAAACAGATAAGAAGAAACGGATGACTGTACAATAACTATGTACAAAAAAAAATATTCATAATACAGCTTCAAATAATAATAACTTCATGCTACAGTTAAAACAAGAGAAAAAAGAAAGAAAGAACATGAAAAATGAAACATTCAAGTTACTGTCAATGAAAAGAATAAACTTCATACTTTTAACAATATCTACAACGACAATATTCATACACATACTTGTAATTTAAAAAAAAAAACAAAAAAAAAAACATTGTATTCACAAAACATTTTAATTATTTCATTCACCAATAAAAATTTCATCGAAGAATAAATACTGTTTCGAGTTTAAAAACATTTTCAGTTTTCTTGTGTATATCACACAATATAACAAGCCTAAAGAAAAGATTTCAATCCAATCTTTTTACAAATGTGTCCATGTCACAAAAAAAGGGGGGGGGACTTCTTAAATGTTACCGGTCATAACTACATGAACTAAAATGATTAAACCTAAAATATTGCTAAAGTTCTGCCCTATTAATTTACATATATAAATATTCTGCCTCCATTTTAAAAAAAATTTTTGACATGTTTAAATTGATTAACATCAAAACTTACGTAATATAAACAAAAATCAAAGAACAACCCATCAAACAGTTTTTTATCTTGTCAAGTTCAAACACGATGTAATTTCCAGGTTCTATTGGTTCTTTTTGAACTTTTGACATCTGTGAACTTTCAACTTTCTGAACGTTTGACCTCAGATAATGAATATCACTTAAGTTGTATCCAGCATGTATTGGTCTGTTTCTGACCTTTCACCATCTGAACTTTCACCTTCTGAACTGTCTATCCCAGGTAATGGTGGTAATAATTCGTGGAGTCGGAACCTGTCCTTGATATGGGGACGCACATCCTCGTTCTGAAAAATAGAGGATTCTGGGTAAATGCTGTCATTCTTGAAAAGCCCTCATCTGAATTTAAATTTTTTCCTTATACAAACTAGGGGGGGAAAATGACAGTCTTTTTGAAATGTGAATTGTCACGACCAAGATTGCATTTCAGATGTCATTTTATTATTTACATTTTCTGATTTAGTCATTGTTGACTACTATATAATTAGGTATACACAGAAGGGGTGCTAAACAATTTATGCAAAAATATGGGGTAATGATATTTCAAGTGCATGTTAGCAATCAGAGACTGAACAGGGTTTAACACTCCAAAATCATTATATTTATAGCTTTTTCCCAACTTCCTACCTTGTGCACTAGACTTTGTAGAAATGGTACAAGGTTGAGTAACTCTCTGTCATCTTTGTCCACAAACCAACTCTCAATGGGGATTCCATTGGCCAGCTACAATACATAAATATACATTGTAACAATAATCTTTTCAAGAGTAAACGATTCTGTAAGAGTTATCTCTCTTGATATAATCATTACTGTATAAGGCTCTGTGGCCTTGAAACTGAAGATAAACTATATTAACTGATCAGATCTATGTTTTAATTTTCCACCTTATAATCCTTTTGTAAAAGTGAGACAAAGATAAAAGGTGAGCTCATCCATATTTTATGGCTCCAGAGCCTCATTAAAACACAGATTAATAAAAAAACTACTTTTTGGGTTCAAAGCCCCAGCAGTATAGGTATGAAAATGACATGTAATAGATTTCTTTCTATGTCATTACCTTCAAGACAAGATAAAACTGAAAACTGACCTGGTAACCAAATGCTTGCGGTGAATTGTCCACGATGATGGTTTTTGAAAGGTCACGACCCAGAATGGATAAATCTTTGATGTAGTTTCCATTGACACACACACAATGTTCACGGAATAACCGATGCCTGTTTGAAAAAAAAAATGTCCATCATAATTAAACCACTGAAGAACCATTCAACGACAGAAGACCCACATTACAAGTAACTTACTGAAGTATAATACAAAAGAACTTGTTATAAACTTCTAATTAATTTTTCTATTGACATTCACGCTGTATTCTCTTTTGGACAAAACCCATAAATATTCTGTGGTTTTCTAAGCCTTATATGGCCTTTCTACTGTCTACTAACTTTATCATGATCAGTTGTTTAATTCTTTGCCTTAAAAGGCCAGTTTATTGACGACTCACTTGATCAGCTGTTTAATTCTTTGCTTTATATTACTATTCTATAGACGACTCACTTGATCAGCTGTAATTCTGTGCCTTTATGTAAAGCCAGTTTATTGATGACTCACTTGATCAGCTGTTTAATTCTTTGCTTTATATTACTATTCTATAGATGACTCACTTGATCAGCTGTAATTCTATGCCTTTATATAAAGCCAGTTTATTGATGACTCACTTGATCAGCTGTTTAATTCTTTGCTTTATATTACTATTCTATAGACGACTCACTTGATCAGCTGTAATTCTATGCCTTTATATAAAGCCAGTTTATTGATGACTCACTTGATCAGCTGTTTAATTCTTTGCTTTATATTACTATTCTATAGATGACTTACTTGATCAGCTGTAATTCTTTGCCTTTATATAAAGCCAGTTTATTGATGACTCACTTGATCAGCTGTTTAATTCTTTGCTTTATATTACTATTCTAAAGACGACTTACTTGATCAGCTGTTTCTGGGGATCCAGTAGATTGACGAGTTTATCTGCGTAGACTTTCTTGGAGGCTGTGAACAGAATGACTTCAAACATTCCGGAGACCTTCTCCAGAAACTCCCTAAAGTGGGGCCTCGTTCTTACAAACACCTAGAATGAATTACAAAGTAAACATTACCATGTATCAGGGATTGCAATTTCTTTTCTTTACTCCCCTTGTTTACATATGTACATAATTAGGACATTGAAATCAGTGATTTTCCTGTTAATTTTCCTTGTTTTCAGGTAGGAAGAGACTGTTCTAAAGGAAATATTCATAGATGTATTGCAATTAATTAAAACTCAATAATTTTATAAACACAAACTCAAAACCCCATGAACCAACATTTTTCCTCAAACCAAAAAATTTTAACTTGCAAAATAAATTGATTTTCAATAGCATTGTACAGTGTACAAATAGATACTATAAAAACAGACAAATTTGTTATGGATCAAATTTCATTTACTTTGTTGTTAGGGAACAATAATTGACGAATTTAATTCCACACACAATTTTCATAGGACTATATACTGACTAGGGTTACTTTGAAAACAAAGAAATTTTAGGTCCACAAAACATTTTCAATGACAAATCAATGAAATTTGATCCCGACAAAAATTTGTTTCTATACCTGGTATGTGACCTCTTCAAACAGAACAGGAAAAGTAAATGCTGCACCCTCTAGTTCCGTCAAACTGCAGTGAACCAAGGTCTCATCCTGCAGCAAAACAGAAAGTAAGTAAAGTGAAAGTAGGAAAAAAACATTTCAACAAAGTAAGCCCTATTACAGCAGTTTTATCTAGTGCTAAATCTTGCTTTACTTTAGTGGTATGTTCCATCCTCTTTGCTGTACAGTATAATTTATATATACATGTACAAGTATGATTATATAAAATATTTGAATAATAATCAAAGTACTGATAGTACTGTTTGCCGGATCATGGTTACTAGGTGTGCTTACCAGGTCAAGGACAAGTGAGAACTCGGGAGAGCTGCGAGTCTTCAGGGGGAGGGCTGGGTGTCTCATTCTGAGCTCATCAGTCAACGGGGGTAAACTTCTGATAAAGAGGAATCTACAGGGGAAAAAAAAAATTTAACTGTATAACAATCACCAGTGATTTCAAGTTAAGGTTGATTGACTCCAATAATTTGTAAGATAGGTCAACACAATACTGACATCATTTGAATATATAATTTCTCTATGGCCTGCAGAGGAGGAAAAAAAATTATAGTTTGTAACCTTCTCTATGGCCTGAAGTCCCCTAAGGATTTTCATCAGTAGAGATGGACATTAAAACTGATCCCATAAAGATTATTAACTTTCACATTTATCATCTTCATTCATTTTCAACAGCTTGAAGGACCTACGGATCAAAAGGCTCAGCGTCGAAGTCGTCCGCCATCACCTCCTCCTGATACTCGCCGTCATCTAAGGCCTCGCACTCGATGGTCTCGGTCTTCCCACACACTAGGTTATTATTGTCCTCTATGTCCATCTTCTCATTGGTGCAAATGTCCAGGGGCACATCAAAGGGCTCTTGGTTTTCTTTGGCTGGGGATAGACAAAAAGGCTGCATTCATCAATCATGTTCATATATATTTAGTTTGCTGGGTATTTACAGGGTTTACATGATAAACAAGGCCTAGAAAAAAAATATGTTTGTTTCCGCTTTCCCGACCGACCCTAATTTATAGTGCCGACCCTAAAAATTTTTTTAATGCTTTTGTCCCAGGAAGTGCAAGATTTTACCCAGGGAATTAGAGTCTCCAACTTTGCAAGCTTTTAACCTTTCTATTATAAGTTTAAGTCACAGAAATGCTTGAAAACACCATTTCTTTTGTCATTAATATTTTTTCTATACATGTTTTGATTAAAGAAGCAAAAAAAAAAAATTTTCAAAAAAAAAAGAATTGCCTACCTACCTACCCTATATTTTTTCAGCCTGAAAGCGGAAACAAACATATTTTTTTTCTAGGCCCAATCCAATTTTGTCGAGTAGAAAGAAAACGTGTCAATGTATGAAAATTTATAAAGTTCAGCATTTTTTTCTTTTGTTGGAGGGGGAAAAAATACCATTAATTAAATGTAGTTCAAAAATATTTATACCATTTATAACAAGAGGCCCATGGGCCACATTGCTCACCTGAGAAGCTTTGGCCATTCCGTTCTTTACCAGATTTACCCCTTGTAATACATATTGTGACCCCACCCTACCCCAATGATCATAATTTAAACAATTTGAATTCTACACTATCCCAGTATGCTTCCACATATGTTTCAGTTTTTCTGGCCCATTGGTTCTTGAGAAGAAGATTTTCAAAGATTTTTTCTATATGTTTCTATGTAAAACATTGATTCCTTATTGTGGCCCCGCCCAACCCCCGGGGGTCATGATTTGAACAATTTAGAATCTACACTACCCCAGGATGCTTCCATATAAGTTTCAGCTTTTCTGACCCAGTAGTTCTTGAGAAGGAGATTTTCAAAGATTTATTCTGTATATTTCTATGTAAAACTTGGATTCCCTATTGTGGCCCCGCCCAACCCCTGGGGGTCATGATTTGAACAATTTAGAATCTACACTAAAACAGCAAACTTCTACATAAGTTTCAGCTTTTCTGGCTCAGTGGTTCTTGAGAAATAGATTTTCAAAGATTTTTCCTATATATTTCTATGTAAAACTTTGATTCCCCATTGTGGCCCCGCCCAACCCCCGGGGGTCATGATTTGCACAATTTAGAATATACACTATCCTAGGATGCTTCCACATAAGTTTCAGCTTTTCTGGCCCAGTGGTTCTTGAGAAGAAGATTTTCAAAGATTTTTCCTTTATATTTCTTTGTAAAACTTTGATTCCCAATTGTGGCCCCGCCCAACCCCCGGGGGTCATGATTTGAACAATTTAGAATCTACATCACCCCAGGATGCTTCCACATAAGTTTCAGCTTTTCTGGCCCAGTGGTTCTTGAGAAGAAGATTTTCAAAGATTTTTCTTTATATTTCTTTGTAAAACTTTGATTCCCAATTGTGGCCCCGCCCAAGCCCCGGGGGTCATGATTTGAACAATTTAGAATCTACACTACCCCAGGATGCTTCCATGTCATTTTCAGCTTTTCTGGCTCAGTGGTTCTTGAGAAGAAGATTTTCAAAGATTTTTCCTATATATTTCTATGTAAAACTTTGATTCCCCATTGTGGCCCCGCCATACCCCTGGGGGTCATGATTTGAACAATTTAGAATCTACACTACCCCAGGATGCTTCCACGTCATTTTCAGCTTTTCTGGCCCAGTGGTTCTTGAGAAGAAGATTTTCAAAGATTTTTCTTATATATTTCTATGTAAAACTTTGATTCCCCATTGTGGCCCCGCCCTACCCCTGGGGGTCATGATTTGAACAATTTATAATCTACACTACCCCAGGATGCTTCCACGTCATTTTCAGCTTTTCTGGCCCAGTGGTTCTTGAGAAGAAGATTTTCAAAGATTTTTCCTATATATTTCTATGTAAAACTTTGATTCCCCATTGTGGCCCCGCCCTACCCCTGGGGGTCATGATTTGAACAATTTAGAATTTACACTACCCCAGGATGCTTCCACATAAGTTTCAGCTTTACTGGCCCAGTGGTTCTTGAGAAGAAGATTTTTTAATGACCCAACCCTATTTTTGTCTTTTCTTGATTATCTCCCCTTGCGAGGGGATATGTCCCTTGATTTTAACAATTTAAAATCCCCTTTACCCAAGGATGCTTTGTACCAAGTTTGGTCAAAATTGGCCCAGTGGTTCTTGAGAAGAAGTCGAAAATGTGAAAAGTTTACAGACGGACGGACAGACAGACAGACAGACAGACGGACAGACGGACGGACGACGGACAAAATGTGATCAGAAAAGCTCACTTGAGCCTTCGGCTCAGGTGAGCTAAAAATTATATATAATAAAAATTAATACTTAATTAAAAATTTAATTTAACTTTGAATTTAATTTAATTTTAAAAATTAATAATTTATAAAAATTACTACCACTTTTTTTTATTGGGGGGGGGATTTATTTAACCTTTAACCTCTGACCCTTACTTGATGAGGCCCCGTCTGACTCCTCCCCTTCCTGGTATTCTGTCATGCTCCCAAAATCCAGAGACTTTGCGATGGACTCCAGTCCCTCTCTCTCTTCATATTCTGAAAATAAAGCACAGTGGGATAAATATATAGTTCAACTAAATATATACATTCTTTTAACTAAACATGCTTAATCATAGAACAATACATGCAATACCCCAAAAGAGCAACAATTAAACTATTGATGGTAAATTCCAAAGTACTATGAGGTTGGTTGATTTATCTCCATGGCTTAATTAATTGACGCTTTTTGGTACAGGGTCCAGTACCCTTTCAATTTGGGAATTCTAAATCAATAAAGTGGCAAAAATTGGAAATATTTGTGCCTCACAGTCATATAAAGTTTTACTGTTGAAGTGAGCTTATTTACCCTTAACATCCCTATAAATCACTGAAATATCAAACTTCAAATTCTTTTAATGCAAAAACCAGTGAATTTCAATCAAACGCGATACATAAGATATCATAAAATGATTATAGCCTCTTCATTTGTGTCCCATAAATTTTTTTATTAATTTTTGACTTGTTTTGCATAGAAAGTAATCATTTTAATCCAAACACTTTTTATCAGAGTTTATGTCATTTTAATCTTACTATCTGTGATCTTTGAAGATCCCGATTTTTATAAAAATATTACGTTCCATCAATAAAAATTATATTATTCTGACTTGTTTTTTCATAAGAAATATTTTGATATACAATAGATTTATTAAGAACCATTTATTTTCACAACAAGAGGCCCAGGGGCCACAGCGCTCACCTGAGCACATCAGCTCGGAAAAAACACATATCAGATCAGAAATGAAAGTTTACTGAGGGGGGGGGGGTGCTTGAATTTTAACCACCAAGGGGATCATAATTTGAACGAACTAGAATCTACATTACCTGAGGATGATTTCATGTGAATAGTACTAATCCTGGCTTTGAAGTATTTGAAAAGAAGATTTAAAAAGGTTTCCCGATATATTTCTATGTAAAACTGTGGTCGGCCATTTTTGCCACACCCTTACCCCGGGGTCATGACTTGAACAAACTTGAATCTACACTACCTGAGGATAATTTCACATGAGTTTCATCTTTCCTGTTTCAATGGTTCTTGAGAAGAAGATTTTTTAAAGATTTTTCCTATATATTCCTATGTAAAACTTTGATCGGCCATTTTGGCCCCGCCCTACCTCCGGGGGCCATGACTTGAACAAACTTAAATCTACACTACCTGAGGATGATTACACATGAGTTTCATCTTTCCTGGCCCAGTGGTTCTTGAGAAGAAGATTTTAAAAGATTTTTCCTGAATATTCCTATGTAAAACTTTGATCGGCCATTTTGGCCCCGCCTTTCCCCCGGGGGTCATGACTTGAACAAACTTAAATCTACACTACCTGAGGATGATTCCACATGAGTTTCATCTTTCCTGGCCCAGTGGTTCTTGAGAAGAACATTTTAAAAGATTTTTCCTGAATATTCCTATGTAAAACTTTGATCAGCCATTTTGGCCCCACCTTACCCCCGGGGGTCATGACTTGAACAAACTTAAATCTGCACTACCTGAGGATGATTCCACATGAGTTTCATCTTTCCTGGCCCAGTGGTTCTTGAAAAGAAGATTCTAAAAGATTTTTCCTATATATTCCTATGTAAAACTTTGATCGGCCATTTTGGCCCCGCCTTATCCCCGGGGGTCATGACTTGAACAAATTTAAGTCTACACTACCTGAGGATGATTCCACATGAGTTTTATCTTTCCTGGCCCAGTTGTTCTTGAGAAGAAGATTTTTTAAAAATGCCAATAATTTTTCTCTAATTCATGATTATCTCCCCTTGGAAAAGGGCGTGGCCCTTCATTTGAACAAACTTGAATCCCCTTCACCCAAGGATACTTTGTGCCAAGTTTGGTTGAAATTGGCCCAGTGGTTCTTGAGGAGAAGATGAAAATGTGAAAAGTTAACGACGACGACAACGACAACGACAACAACAACGACGACGACAGACGACGGACAAATTTTGATCAGAAAAGCTCACTTGAGCCTTCGGCTCAGGTGAGCTAAAAACGTCATTGTCCATGAATTTTTTGGACAACCCTCGTACTTATCCTTTAGAAATTTTTACTTTACTTTTGGAAAAAAAAAATTTTTCAATAGACTCCTACCTTCTTCATACAACTGATGATAGACAGGTGAAAAAATGGTCCCCAGCATCGGAATTCTGGGAGGAGAACCAGTTTCTGGATTTTCTTTTAAGATTTTCAATGGTTTCTTGTGTGCTGAAAAAAAAACAACAAATTCAAAAATACTCACAAAGTATGCATGCATTGCACATGCTGTCAGAAAAGCTGCGCCTGAACAATATTCCTTCAAATGGTTCCATTTCTTCACTTATCAAACTTACAAGTTATACTATATACACTGTACCGTAAAAGTGGAAATTTTAGCGAGACGAAAATTTAGCGATTTCAGAATGTTCAATAAAGAAGCTATAACAAATAAAACACAATTAATTTTTAGCGATATTTGATTTTAGCGATCTCTGCACTCTCTCTAATGCTAAAATTAAATCCTCTCTAAAAATTCTGCTTTTACGCTATAAGAGCCTTGATTAGGAGTAATGATTTCATTCATTTTCTTTTAGCAGGTACTTGAATTTGTCAAGATGGGATCTAAAGGAGAATTAATGTGGTGGATCATACCTGGTTTGCTGACGTCAGGGACGGAAGTTATGAAGTTTGCTGATGAACATGATGATGGTTCTTGGTGGTCGATGGTGATAGGTATCGATATTCCACCTTTCCTCTGTCTTCTAGGTGGTGTTTGCTGCATCTCCTAAAAATAACCAACCAAAGAGGAGGCTTAATTGTGTGGCCCTATATAGTTTATCAAATTGAAATTTAGAATCACAATCTGTTATGCCAAATAATAAGCATGCAGTTTTTCATTAAATTGAGACAGTTGTCCTAACCATTACTTCCAAATGACATCTTTAAGTATTTAGTGCCTCTAAATTTTAAGTACAGAGTTTCAGTTGTGTGTCTTTGATCATGCTTAAAATTGTGCTCTATAATCTAGCAAGTGAAATTGTTGATTTTGGAAGAAAATAGCCTGGAGAGGTGGATGTCATCTTTCTTTAGAGTACCTTGACTTGGGAGGTTGATCCAGCCTTCATTGCTCTCTTTCCTTTTGGTGGTGCAGCGTCTGTTTCCTTCCGCCGTTTTCTTATTCTTGTGGTGGCCGATGCCACACCACCGCCTAACTTACGGCGTAGCTGCATATTGTCCTTACCACTACACTCCAAAGGCATACCTGGTCCAAAAATATAAAAATATTTTAACAATCATCCTCATCCATTGAAAAATGTCATACATTGTCTCATGAAAATATATCATTATAATGTATTGTTGTAATGAGTTTAGCCGTTGCTTCTTAATTTGCTCATCTGTTACAAGCCCACATTTTTAAAGCACAGATAATGTGTTTTGGAAAAATACCACTTAGATTTCCATGGAGAAAAAAAAGTACCCTAATTTCCTACCTAGAATCAAGTAAAGACCTCAGGGATAAACACTGCAGAAATAGATGAAGAACAGAATTTCGTGTTTTCAAAAAGGGGAAGGGAGAACCCATTGCCCAATCAGCCTAATTTGAAGAAAACTTGGTTGAAACATGTAGAAGGTGTCATCAGTGTTTTCCCCAGGCCGTTCTTGCATGGCGGTACCGCCATGCATTCACGATCTCCCACCATGCATCACATGTTGCCGCCATGCTTCCCGCTATGCATGAATTATTAACTGTGTACCATGTGAATGTTATCCATAACAAATCTTTCAATAAAACAATTCAAATCACAAGAATTCTAACGTGTACTGTGCACCTGTTGTGAACTTGATGCGAATCGCGGCACGGGGTATGATGCAATAGGCCTAGCTATCAATCTTTGTTTATTACAATTTACTGGTATGTTACTAAGTATCAAGCTTTTAATTGGTTAAAAATTAATCTATAACCATAAAAAGTAATTAATTGCAGTCAGATAGTATACACGGTAGAAGCAATACACTTGTTAATGCATGTGGGTTTTTTTCAACATTCACAGGTCGTTCTATAAATAGCATTGATGCTCCGACATAAAAATGATTCATTAGTTAAACTCATAATATTTAAAACGTTTTTTGCATTAAAGTGCTGAAGATAAACATGTCTAATTAACATTATCAATGTTTATTTACTTTATAAACTATGGGTAGGTACTTATTACAAACACATGTGCTTTCACACAATGACCTTCACCTATATTCAGAAGCGGGAAAAATCAAACATCAAATGAATGCAAATATTTACATGTTAGCATTAGTGCTACATATTGAGCACATTTTTTGTTTCAAGTAGACTGCAAAAGTAGGGAATAAATTAATAATAATAATAACAAGAGGCCCAGGGGCCACAGCGCTCACCTGAGCACATCTGGCTTGAATTTACTCCCCCCCCCCCTTCCAGGCGTTCATCATTTGAACAAACTAGAATCTACACTACCTGAGGATGCTTCCATATAAATACCCCGGGTATCACTAACCATAGCTTTGAAGTGGCCCTTCATTTGAACAAACTTGAATCCCCTTCACCCAAGGATACTTTGTGCCAAGTTTGGTTGAAATTGGCCCAGTGGTTCTTGAGAAGAAGATGAAAATGTGAAAAGTTTACGACAACGACAACGACGATGACGACAACGACAACAGACAAATTTTGATCAGAAAAGCTCACTTGAGCCTTCGGCTCAGGTGAGCTAAAAAGGTGGAGGTCACTATAGGGGTCTATTTGTAAAAAGGAAAAAATAACACAATACACAAAACAGTAATTAAAAAGACAGTGGCTTTATAGAAAATTTTAATAGAGCAATTTTTTTTTTGATTAGGCCTAGCCTAGTTCTATTTTTATGTTTAAAAAAACTCAATTGTTACATATTTTTTAGTAAAATTGACAATTTGTTCAAAATGTATTTATTTAATTAATTAAATAATGAATTTATATTTTTTCATTTAAATACATATATACATTTAAATACATGTACAATTAACTTAACCGACACAAGCCGCGCGCCGTCAATTCAGCGAAATTCCCCCCATGCCTCAAAAATTTTCTGGAGAAAACACTGTGTCATATTAAACATCCTGGTCATATTGATCTCCCTGCGTCCCTTTACGGAAGAACCCCCACCCAACCAACTCACATCTACCCCTTCCCTTTCAAGTTACTCTCAAATGATCTTAAACTCTGTAAGAAATAATTCAAAATATGCATACTATATTTGATAACCATTAACTAGTAGGTTAAGCCTTAATTTGGAAAATACTTACAATCCATGATTAAATCTTGTTATTATTCCCGACAGTTAACAGACATGATATTACGTATTATTAGGTTTGTTTATTATCTATGTATGCTATGTACTAATGGGACAGACCACATGTTTTCGTGAAGATAAGACTTATGGAAGGTGAGGTCCCACTCTGGAATCTGATTGGTCAGTTTATGGGCCATTATCTAGGAATAAATGTGTATTTACGCATATTGTGAATCAACCCAAATTTTGTATTTATCATGTTTATGTTTAATATTTCACTCATTATACATATAGTCTTAGTAAAACGGTCACTAGACAAGTACTGTTTAATTTTTTTATAGAGCGCCATCTCTGTAAATAAAAAAAATTAAAAGAAAATATTCTTGTTTATTTGTAACTTAAGTTCAAGCAAGTGTAATTTTTTGGGCTGTGGATATCATGTGGATATCAGCCTGAATAGCTCAGTTGATAGAGCACCTGACTGGAGATCATGCAGGGGTCCCGAGTTCAATTCCCTGTCCAGCCATACTTTTTCTCCTTTCCTGTTTCACAAGAAAATTTATATTATGAGTAAATATATTCTGTCTTACTATTTTCTAATCTTATTGTTATCATAGCTGTTCAATTCATTACATGATCGAATGGAACTCTCTCTAATATTTATCACATTAACCATGATAACACACCAGGAAGAATTACCTCTTAATTCATTTTCCTGCTTTTAAATGTACTTTAATTTTGCTAAACAAAACAAACACATCTTTGTTGTTGTTGTTTACATATTACCAGTACCTCAAATTTACTAAAATGCCTGGACAAAGAAATTACCTATAGGCCAGTTGAGAGAAAAAAAATTGTGTGATTAGGATGGTCTCATGCCATGATGGACATAATATTTCTACTTAAGCCTCATCTTGTTAACATTTTCTATCTTAATTTGGCTTTATTAATTAACTTTAGAAAATTTAATTTATTTCTGCTACAGAAAAAAAAAATTCCCCAAGTCTAGATCTCGTCTTGCTGATCAATGGTAAACTCTACTGACAACCTTGAAAATCAAGTGCCGTTCTCGAGATTATAGTAATTTTATTTCATTTAATCACGGCAATTTCTCCGTATTAATTAAAATCTAAATGAAGAGTTCGCGACCCCGTTTGTAGGCATGAAAATAGAAATCTGGGTCACACAAACAAATCGTGACGTCACAGATCGAAGAGTATGATTCATCCTAACATTTCACATCTAATTATTGATAATTTCAATCCGATGAATGATTACTCTTCTTGCAAACTGCCAGGTCCAATTTTTAATTGTTTATTACTAAATGAATAATATTAAAAGAGTGTAAAGCATTCAAGGTCACGCGATCTAGAACCTGTCCCAGAAACGAAATGCAAATTGGGGATTTTACCACTGTGAACTCTCGCGAGTTTTCGTCATCCTACAAGCATTCAAATTTTCGGACCGGGTATGGACATTGTTAAGTAACACACCTTAATCTTTATATTAAACCATTAAAAGAAGGTCTCTCTATAGAAATTGAACTTATAAAATGCACGACACTGTTTGTAAAATAGAAAACTTACCCTAAACTTGTGGTTATGTTTACATCACTCCATTTCGCGCGTAGGATCAATTCCCCGGATGTAGGTCAGTGCGCAAAACATCCTGTTCACAATCCGAACCCGACCGATTTTATTTCTATTACCTGGCTTATACATTCATGACGATATGAAAAAAACACCTGAACACATACCGCCAGAATGGATTAAAAAACTTAACAATATTAAGAAAATCAAAAAGCATAATGCTAACCATCTTTATTACCCGTCTTTTACTTGCAAATAACACCCAGTAGACAAGTTTGGTACCATAGGCGGATCCAGGATTTTTGTTTTAGGGCTAGGAGTCCAACCCAGTTATAAAAAAAAAAAATCAAACCCAGAAATTTCTTGACCTTGACAAGCAAGAAAAAAAGCTAGCTATGCTAACTCCTATCCCAAATGAGAAAAACCTATTTTGTTTGTGTGTTCGTTGGGGGTGGGGGTGGGGTCGTAGACTTAGAAGTGAACTTAATACTCCTACCTATGTATTTTTGGCAAAATTAACACAGATCCGCGTTTTCTAGGGCGGAGGGGGGGGGGGGGTCGATGTTTTCCCGGGGGAGGAGGGGGGTCATTTAGGCACTCTAGATCCGCGCTTGGATTAACATTGTCTGTCAATGTTTTATAAATGTATATACTATATGTAAGGACTCGGTTTTAATTCGACCCATGGACATCCTACAAGTACATTTGCTTGCAGTTCCCTGTCCAAGGACGAAATACTTCAAAATGACATTTCAGTATTTTATACTATTATTATTCGGACAGTCAACTAACGTGAATCCGAATCTACGTACCCTATACCCTTACTTGCAAATTGACAAAATACTTACAAACAAAAATACATACATGTATATTGCCCCGTCCAGCGATTGCTGTAATTGTACAAGATGCCATCTTTCAGTAGTCCTCAGTACAATCATATACGTGTATTTTCTTACGTATGAAAGTTCAGACATACTGCATGCTACATGCAGCTAGTATATTCTAGAAGTGGTGTAAATCAGATGTGGATCCTTAACAACTCTAAAGAACGTCAAGAAACTTTAAAATCACCAAACTTTTTTAAAAGAGAAAAACATCAGAACTTACGATTTTTCAACGCTTTATACAACAATTTCTTGCGATCAGGGGCGCAGCTGCCTATACGCCAGCACGCCATGGCGTGCACATCTTTTAGTCCAAAAAAAAAAAATTACTGCGCATTTTTATAAAATTTATTATTAAAAAAATGATTATATCGTCATATAAAAAATTAAATTCCTAAAAGGTTCCGTACTTTGCAGTACATTAGATTCTATTAATTCAGCGCTATATCCAACAACATTTTATTCATATTGCTAACCATGCCGGTAGCAAGCGCAACTGCAGAGAGGTCCTTCAGCGTTAATTTTGCGGCGACTGAAAACGTACGTCCGTTCCACTATGAGAAATGACAGATTGTCATGGCTTGGACTTCTCCATATTCACAGAGATTTTAAAATTGATATAGAAAAAGCAATGGAACTATTTGTTAATGCTAAATCCAGAAAAATGGATTTTGGAGAATTTTAGGTAAAGGCTAAACGATAAGACACGAAACATGATGCCGCACGTTTTGGGGAAATTAAATTTGCTGGATTGAAATTGTTTTGTTTTATTTTCATTATTTAAAAATTAGACAAAAAATGTAACTAAAAATACCTTTTTAAAGTAATCACAAAAATTCAGACAATGCACTTGATTTTATATTTAAAAAAAAAAAACATAAATATTTTTAGCTCTACTGGTCAGAGACCAGAAGAACTTATGCGATAGTAATGCGTCCGGCGTCCGTCCGTCTGTCCGTCTGTCTGTCTGTAAACAATTTTTCAAAATGCTACTCCTCCTACAGTTTTGATCTGATTTCATTACAACTTGGCATATTTAAGTAGACTACACTAAGATACATAATTCTGTGTATCGGTTTTTGATTTCGACGAACGGTGTTGGCGTTGTTACTAAAAATAGAAATTTCTGTGAAATTCTTTCAAAATGCTACTCCTCGTACAGTTTTGGTATGATTTCAATATAACTTGGCACATAAGTAGACTTCACTAAGGTACATAATTCTTAATATCCGTTTTTGACTTCAATGAACATTATTACCTTAGTTAATAAAAATAGCAATTTCTGTTACTCGCAAAATGCTACTTCAAATACAGTTTTAGTCTGATTATAATATAATGTGGCATGCAAGTAGACTACACTAAGAACATAAAGAGACTTATTCAGGGGCGCAGCTGCCTATACGCCAGCACGCCATGGCGTGCACATCTTTTAGTCCAAAAAAAAAAAATTACTGCGCATTTTTATAAAATTTATTATTAAAAAAATGATTATATCGTCATATAAAAAATTAAATTCCTAAAAGGTTCCGTACTTTGCAGTACATTAGATTCTATTAATTCAGCGCTATATCCAACAACATTTTATTCATATTGCTAACCATGCCGGTAGCAAGCGCAACTGCAGAGAGGTCCTTCAGCGTTAATTTTGCGGCGACTGAAAACGTACGTCCGTTCCACTATGAGAAATGACAGATTGTCATGGCTTGGACTTCTCCATATTCACAGAGATTTTAAAATTGATATAGAAAAAGCAATGGAACTATTTGTTAATGCTAAATCCAGAAAAATGGATTTTGGAGAATTTTAGGTAAAGGCTAAACGATAAGACACGAAACATGATGCCGCACGTTTTGGGGAAATTAAATTTGCTGGATTGAAATTGTTTTGTTTTATTTTCATTATTTAAAAATTAGACAAAAAATGTAACTAAAAATACCTTTTTAAAGTAATCACAAAAATTCAGACAATGCACTTGATTTTATATTTAAAAAAAAAAAACATAAATATTTTTAGCTCTACTGGTCAGAGACCAGAAGAACTTATGCGATAGTAATGCGTCCGGCGTCCGTCCGTCTGTCCGTCTGTCTGTCTGTAAACAATTTTTCAAAATGCTACTCCTCCTACAGTTTTGATCTGATTTCATTACAACTTGGCATATTTAAGTAGACTACACTAAGATACATAATTCTGTGTATCGGTTTTTGATTTCGACGAACGGTGTTGGCGTTGTTACTAAAAATAGAAATTTCTGTGAAATTCTTTCAAAATGCTACTCCTCGTACAGTTTTGGTATGATTTCAATATAACTTGGCACATAAGTAGACTTCACTAAGGTACATAATTCTTAATATCCGTTTTTGACTTCAATGAACATTATTACCTTAGTTAATAAAAATAGCAATTTCTGTTACTCGCAAAATGCTACTTCAAATACAGTTTTAGTCTGATTATAATATAATGTGGCATGCAAGTAGACTACACTAAGAACATAAAGAGACTTATTCAAGGCTCATTATTCTCTTTTTTGCTAGTGTAAAGTTTCAATTCCCAACTGCTTAAGTACTTTCCTCTTCCTTTGCTATAAGTACAAACCAGTAGAGCTTCAGTCTCGACAGAGACTTCTGGTTTAAATATTAATAGATCTATTATTTTTTGGTGTCATAAATCAAAATATCGCGAAGTTGACTTCATCTCGTAGCATACGTTATATATCTAAAAATACCGTAAATTTTGTTCAGTCTAAACGTGAAAACCCAGGAGCTTCCTGGGGCTTCGCCCCCTGGGCCCCAACCAGGGCTTCGCCATGGACCCACTGGGGGCCTCAAGGCGGCCCCCAGACCCCCTGCCTTTTTTGGCGTGCACATCATTTTCGTCTAGCTACGCCCCTGTTATTCAAGGCTCATTATTCTCTTTTTTGCTAGTGTAAAGTTTCAATTCCCAACTGCTTAAGTACTTTCCTCTTCCTTTGCTATAAGTACAAACCAGTAGAGCTTCAGTCTCGACAGAGACTTCTGGTTTAAATATTAATAGATCTATTATTTTTTGGTGTCATAAATCAAAATATCGCGAAGTTGACTTCATCTCGTAGCATACGTTATATATCTAAAAATACCGTAAATTTTGTTCAGTCTAAACGTGAAAACCCAGGAGCTTCCTGGGGCTTCGCCCCCTGGGCCCCAACCAGGGCTTCGCCATGGACCCACTGGGGGCCTCAAGGCGGCCCCCAGACCCCCTGCCTTTTTTGGCGTGCACATCATTTTCGTCTAGCTACGCCCCTGGCGATAAATTATTTTAATATAGAACCTAGACTTTTTGATATAGAACCGCATTATAACTTCTTATATGATTGGTCCCAGCGATCTAAATCATTGTTAAAAATCACTTTGATTCTAAAAACAAATACTCTGAAGTTTGATTTAAACATATTTTATTGAAACATAATCAATGGGATCAGATACAAGCTACACCAACTTAGAATGTCCTCTCCAACACAAAGAAAAAACAAATTAATATACATGTGATGAACAACAAACAAATCTACAATACAAAAAAGAATAAAAGGGTGCAGAGGGATAAGAAAGGAGGGGAATAGGAGTGCAAGGAAAGATTGATTGATTGATTGATTGATTGTATACAGTTTAACGTCCCTCTCCAGAATATTTCACTGATATGGAGACGTCACCATTGCCGGTGAAGGGCTGCAAATCTGGGCCCATGCTCGGCACTTAGGGCCATTGAGCAGGGAGGGATCTTTATCGCGCCACACCTGCTGTGACACGGGGCTTCGGTTTATACGGTCTCATCCGAAGGACCGCCCCATTTATTTGCCTTTTACGACAAGAAAGGGGGTACTGAGGACCTATTCTAACCCGGATGAAAGATGAGAGAAGAAGTTAATATATTAGAAAAAATGCTGGTTTCTTCACTGACAGTATTTATGTAAAGTCTTTAAAGACCATGTTTCCAAAGAAAACTGATGGAATCCCTATGGGCATTACCTGCTATCCTTTATTAGCCGACTTTTTTATTAAATATTCCTAGTAAGTTGAATCCATCCGAAATCTTCTAAATGAGAAACAAACACTGGCCGTTGCCATGAACTCGACTTTTACATATTTTGACGGTGATTACCCCCATTGAAGTTCAAAAAAGAACACCACAAAGTCTAGATCTGCCACACATCTGATTCAAAGGTACACGTAGACAGCCCCCCCCCCCCGATTTTCACCCCGGGGTTTTTTGGGCATTGTTTTTTAAAACAACATTGACATAGTTCAAATTGCTTCTCTCGAGATATCATGTGGAAACCAATCGACTTGTCACATGAAATTTTAACATTTTTTTAATTTATTGGATTCCTGTGCAACAGGAAAGGAAAATATTTTCCCGAAATTGAGCTTTGATTTGCTAAAAAATAACTTGAAAATTGGCCAGAGCAGACATTTGGTACAAAATAGTACATTTTTAAACACGTTTTTCTAAAAAATTAATTCAAAGAAACGAATATATACACTTTTTTTTAAAAAAATGGAGAGAAGACTCAGAGACCACGAAAAACGAACTTTTCCCCCAAAAATTCAAATGTGTGAATGTGGTGCTTCTTTGTCCTTTTAAAATCATCTGTGTATGTTTAGCGGTGATAGCTCAGTAGGGCATAGGCGTAGTCACAGGGGGGGCAGCGGGGGCACTAGCCCCCCCACTTTCAGATCTGGGGGGGCAAGAGTATGTCTGTGCCCCCCCACTTTTTAATGAAGAACAAAATCACAGCTATTTTTCCTCAACATTACCTTTACTATAGGAAATATTCATTGAATTGCCTCCCCCCCTTTTGACCCTTGTATAGTTATATCGAAGAAATGTGGAAAAAAATTGGATTTGAAAGTAACTTGCCTTTGAAAAAGTTGGCTTTTACCCCCCCCCCCCCCCCCCCACTTGCCCCTGAAACTCCCACGAAATAGGATTTTCGAGTTTCCATTTTTTTTTTTTTTTTTTTTTTTTTTTTTTTTTTTTTTTTTTTGCTTGTCAAAGAATTTCTGGAGTTGAGCCCCCCCACTTTTAAGTTTGTGACTACGCCTCTGTAGGGTGCGCTATATGTTCAGTGCACTGAACTCGAAAAGTCTTCTGGTTTGAGCCTGGCATCGGGGGTTAATTTTTTTTTCATGAAACCATTTATTATGTCAGTTTCGTTTTATGTACTGAATGATATATTAAAATTTTGAGTTAAATTAATTTTGGTTCTCGAGCGAAATCAATTCTAATCTTCTATTCTAAATAATGTACATCATGTACACGTATCATGCATCTATATTCATTAAATATTTTAGGTGTTTATTTTTTTGTGAAACATTACTATGTTATAGTACCCCTAGGAAAAACGGACAAAAATGTTACAATATCACACTTTCAAATTAATTGAAAAAAAACCATGGACGTCTTTGTAAACTCTGACAAGCTATGTACAGCCAACCAAATCATGGACATTTATAAACCATAAATGTTTCGTACAAATGATTCCTGCAGATCACACGCCAAATGCGCCCATCTTCTTTGATACCTCAGGATAAAATTTCTATAAATAATTTTCCCTCACTTTAATTTTCCGAAAATAATGAGTCCCTTCGTTTGCCTCTTTCATGCAGCTGGAGACAAAAGAAGAACTGCTGCTGAAGACGAAAGACATTAATTTGTAGACCTGCACCGGCAAGTGGTGGCGTCTCCATATGTAGAAAATTCTCGAGAGTAACGTTGAGCAACAAACATACAAACCATTTACAATCATAGTTACTTCCATTCATATACCGGCAGCAATTTGAAAAATTTAAAAGTGAATTTGAAATAAGAGATACCACTGAGTCTGGCTCATCTTTTTCTTACTTGGATATTTTACTAGAAAAAGACATTTATGGTAACCTAACAACAAAATTAAGTTTGTGATAAACGTTATCACTTCTACTTTTTATCACCAACTTTCCTTACTTATGTATCAATGTTAACTATTGAAAAACAAGTTGATGAAACAAGAATATAAATAGTCTCGTGCGGGCGGTCGCATGCAATGAGTGAAATATAAATCCCTAACTTTTATATTTTGTATTTAATGCTTTGATTCTCAGAATATATTAGTAACGTATACAGGAATATATGGTATTCATGCACATACATGCAAGTGTACGCGTGTGCAATGCTAAAGTGACCAATATACTTGATTAGGCCGTAAATTACATATTTTAATAAATGTTTTGAAACGCGAAACATAATATATACTAGATGTAACAGCATAGACAAGAAAATACGGTACCATTACCTAGATGCATATGCACACGCATGCAATGCATTAAACGACCAATTTTAAAAGGAATAACTGTCTCATTTTTTTTTGTTTCATGATGTGATCAATTCATCGAGTGGCTTGCGTGATAATTTGGCGCTTAATTATGCATAAAATTATCACGCAAGCCAATCCATCATCACGAAACTAAAAAATCTGACAGTTATTCCTTATTTTTACATTCTCTTGATTCCGTAAATCCACATGCTACAAGCCCGCTTCTGTGTCTATTTGCCCCGCCTTGCATGTGATATGACATTGTAAACATGCATGCACAAGCATGCAAGTATACTTGATAACTTTTTTACTTATATATATTTTCTACCGGAATATTGATTAATTTTGACATAATCAGCGCATTTATAATTATATATATTGATTTTGACATGCTAGGTACCGGGATCGATACCCGGATTCTCCACCACTTATTATAACCGGGTCAACCTCATTCCGGACTCCAGCCTATGATGACTGTTTATCACACCTCAACCATCGAAGTTTGAGGAGGCAGAGTCCCGAATGACATTGGGCCGATCATAATTTTGTTCATTTACACCCGGGATCTTGTTTATTTCTGTGAGAGGACACACCAAGTGGAATAACTCTTCTAATCCTTGAGCTGGGTCGGAATAACTCAATTCAGCTTTTGAATTTTATTAGATCATTCTTTTGTGTTTTGATAGGCAATTCCTTTTACCCAGAGGACCTTTCCTGACCAGAGCGGCTCACAGGCTGTAGTTCACAACCTGTATAAAATGAAGCAGAGACATACACAGTCCAGCTCTTGTCTTTTATTTAACGAAACAATCCGTTTATTTTATAACTACAATAAATAATTTTACACACAATACTAAATATTATAATAAGGATTACTGTGTTACAATATAAACTATCTAAACCTGAAAATAAAATTAACCATCTGAAAACTTAATAATTTTACAAAATCGCGCAAGTCTACCAAATAATCTTCCCTGTATAAAATGAAGCAGAGACAAACATGACAGACACAATCCAGCTCTTGTCTGGCGTATGTCCTTCGTCCGCTCATTTTATACCTCAACTCTTACTCCGATTTTCATCTCCATATTTGGATCGCCTTCAAAATTTCCAATAATTACTTTAACTTCAAATTTGAATTTTTAACTATCATTACTCTGTCCTCCAACACTCTTAGTTTACTTATGCGTTTTAAAAATTACTTTCTGTCTCTTGCAAATTCTTTTAATTTCACTTGGTGTATTTAATTTAACCAACTGACCCCTGGCTACTCAAATGTTATTGGTCACTCCTTCCTCCTAACCAAATACATCTTTTCATAAACAAGAAAAACTGCATTCCAATGATTCATTTCTTGGAACCGTCCGGGTTAAAGTTCAATTCTTAGTGGTTCGCATCTTTAATTGCTTTTATCTTTTAGAGCCCGCATGTGCTATCTCTGTAAGCGGAATGGTGCAAATCCATCAAATATGTTACATTCTTATTTTTACTGCAATTTTTGTTATGATAGTAATCAGCACATGCGCACAAGTACATGTGCATGACTGAGTGCATGGACAATGAGTGTCAATTTTCTTTCTTAGTCCAAATTTTATATGCATAATTTTTGAATGAAATGTCTTGAAGCTAAAAATAAAATTAAAACACAGCTGATCATATAGCTTTAAAGTCAAGACGCATTTGCATGCCCTAATGTCCGGTTCGTGGTGTGTGAAATAACGAATAAACTAGATATTAGTCCAACTTTAATGATGTTGTTTGATAAATTAAATCTTTAAAAAAGGAAGTATATTTATAATCTTGGGAACATGAGATGGTACTTGTGTATATACAGTGCGCTTTGCTGTATTTGGTAGAATCAAAATTCTCAATAACTTTCCTGTTTTCTGACGAAAAATAAACAATTTGAATAAAAATTTTATTGTAAAAGGTTCTACAAAGTGTTTTACATACAAAATACAAAAGTTCCTGAGCACGCATACGTATGAGTGATGCAAATGGCTTTTTAAAGAATATCTAACGAGTTATTGACCCAATTTTCTGACTTTTTGACAGAGCAGGAAGAAATGTTGAATAGTAATACATGTAAGTATATTTTTTCCTATATTGTATGAATTTCTAAATTCAATTTAATTTTATGTATGCATGTACCTGTACTCCTACATGAATGTTAGCCACTGTGCATTTTGTTATACGAAGGGTGATCAAAAAGTTCGCGAACTAATTGATTAACTTTCGTAAAAGAAATTATATATGGTTTCAGTGTTGAAAATTTTTAAACCCGTTAAAAGATTGTGAAAGCAGACATTCGACTTGAGAATGAGCCTTATTTCAACATTATTAATTGATCTATTGCAAATTTGTGAAATACTACTTATAAAGACAACATTTCTGTTACTTGTATTATTAACACTGGAAAGTTTGAGTAAAATGTTATGTACAAATAGAATATACATGTGCATAGAGCCGGAATGGAAAATTCACATGTGAATTTCCTAGACTTTTAAGTTTTCTTAAGCGATAACGTACGTATAATTCAATTTTTACAAAAAATCAACAGAATTTTTCAAATGGGTCGTAGAATAATCAAGATGTGTTTGTGAAACACTGCTGCCCCCGTATAGCAACATAGCAAAGATTACATTTTTCTTAAATGGAAAATTAATATATGTACCAAAGTAGGGTATTCTCACTGGAAATACAAATTTTGTGAAATATGAAAGTAGGCGAAGGTAAAAGTTTTTTTCATAAGTACGGAAATCTTCAAGGTCAAGATAATTAGTATCCATTGAAAAGCCATGCCATAAAAAATACATATGTAAAGTAAGGAAACCCTAGCCCCAACCTTTCAGAAGTTATGGCCAAGGATAAAACTTATAATAAATAGGTCAAACTCCAAGGTCAAGATCAAAGGTCTTGCTATCAACTGAAAGGTCTAGTCCAAAGAATTGAATATGTAAAGTATGAAAGCACTAGCTCTATCCCTTTAAAAGTAATGGTCAAGGTTTAATTTTTTAAAGTAGGTCAAACGCCAAGCTCAAAAGGTCAAAGTTCTCGGTATCCTATGAAGGGTCTTCTCACAAGGATTACATGTACATACTTAGTAAGTGAAGTGTGAGTTCACTAGCCCTTAGCAAAATTAAATTTTTTCATAAGTACCCCCCCCCCCCCCCCGAACTTCAAGGTCTAAAAGTCAAGGTAATTGGTATTCACTGAAAGGTCTTGCCACATAAATTACAAAAACTCCAAGGTCAAGGTCTAAAATTCAAGGTAATTGGTATCCAATGAAAGGTCTTGCCACATAAATTACATATGTAGAGTATGGAAGTTATAGTCAAGGTTAAAAAGAAATTTAAAAGTAGTTCAAACTCCAAGGTCAGGGTCAAAGGTTCAAAGGCCTTGCTATCAAATGAAAGGTCCTGTCACAAGGATAAATATGCAAAGTATGAAAGCACCTGCTTGACCCTTTGAAAGTAATGGTCAAGGTTTACTTTTTAAAAGTAGGTCAAACTCCAAGATCAAGATTAAAGAGTCAATATTCTTGGTATTTTATGAAGGGTCTTCTCACAAGGGTTACATTATGAAGTATGAGAGCTCTATCCCTTACTGTTCAAAAGTTATGACCAATATTGAAGTCTTTTCATAACTACGGAAATCTTCAAGGACAAGGTCAAAAGGTTAAGGTTGTTGGTATCCAATGAAAGTAGTTTTAACAAAGAAAAAATGTATGAAGTACAAATGTTCCGGTATATGTACTGTTCAAAAGATATGGCTAAAGTAAAAGTTTGGAAGTTTTGTGTAAAAGTGGGTCAGACTCCAGGGTCAAAAGGTCAAATTTGGTGTTACCCATAGAAAGGTCTTGTCACATTAAATACACATGTGAAATATGAAAGTCATAGCTCCACTAAATCAAAAGTTATGGGCAAGGTTAAAGTTTTTGTGGACAAACAGACAGACAGACAGAGAGACAGACAGACGGACGGACACGACAAAAACTACATATCTCCAAAACTTCGTTTGTTAAGGGGATCAAACTCCAAGGTCATTTTGATATCATTTTTTTAATATATAAATTACAATATTTCACTGGTAAAAATGTAATATCAAATAGAATTCTCTGAATTTTTTTCACATATATATATGAAAAAAAAAACATGCCACATCTTATTTTTTTCTTACAAAGATAATTATTTTCAATATATTAATATTCTTCTTTTTTTTCTCCTGTACCCTTTAAAAAATGAGTTAAAATAGAATTCATGCGTGCTTTGTACTGCGCACAAAGATCTGCAACGTTTTGCTCATGTGTGAATCACGTGATCTAGGCGGTCACAAGACATTCTCTGTACATAGCGTTCTGTTACTGAAGCTAACGATTAAATTCCATCACAACCCAAGGACTTTGTTTTGGGAGCGTCGTTTAGGATTCAATGTGGATAAACACAGGAATCTGAATTTTTTGTCGTCAAAAAATATAATAATCCGGAAAATAATTTTCCTACCCTCAACTAAAAAACACGTGTATTTTTTTAGTGGAGGGTAGAAAAATGATTTTTCGGATTCTTTTTTTTTTTTTTTTTGAAAATAAAAACTTCAGACTCCCGTGGGATACATAATGGGTGCCTTCAATTTATCATATCTGATATGTTTAACATATTTTAAAATAATTTTTAATTTTGAAATATTTTTAATTATGAAAGATAATTTTTAAATAATAATGTTATTGTTTAGATATTCAACCATTTTTCTAAGTATAAGTTGACGATCATCCATAATTATAACAAATTGCTTAACAAAGGACACATTTCGATCTTCCCCATCATCTCAAGCCACGGTCCGGAGTCTGCATTAACCTCTCTCCTACCAGAATGTGAGAGGGTCGTACATTTTGGCCCTGGTTTGCGACGATGAATCTTCCCCAGCTTGGTTTCACTAGTCAACAGAATAAACATTTTTTAACATCTCCCTTCCTTCGCAATGGATAAACTTCTGGGAAGTCCTTAGTCTTCATAAACCGTGTGCAAATTATCATATCCTACTACAATTGATTAATTTTTCAGATATACTCGTACGTTTAAGTTTACAGCCGTTCGTTGCTCGAGCACGTCTGAGTCAACCATTTTTGTCACAAGTGGTCTAAATATTTACGTCACTTTCACATTGTTACGTCACAAACATCAAGCAAATGATCAGTCTGATTAAAATCAAACCTTCACTGGCTCCTTTTTATTGTTACGGGGTTCTTTTGGTTTCTTATTCCTTGGAAATAAAAGATGTATTTTTTATGCAATTTATTGTAAGTCTATTATTTATCAAACATGGGGTTTTTTGGCCTTCGGATTTGAAAAAAAAACCGTACACTTATTTTAAAAAAATCTGGTTCTAGTATTTCAGTAAATTTTCCATTTTTAGCCTAATAGCAATAACTTTTTTTATTTGGCTGTTGAATTCTAACATTACGTGCTCTGTACACTAGGAAGTAAAATTGAAGTAATTTTAAAAGCGCACTAAGAATAGTTTTGAAGTAGGCCTTTAAAGTTATTTGTGTTATAAAAGGGAAAGTGTAGTATTAATCCTGTGTCAGAACAAAATTGTCGGAAGAAAAACAAAACAATGTGTGCAAAACATTAAAACGACGTAAGTGCTTATACGATAATATTTTTTTAATGTAAATTTCATAAACTGTTTTGTTTTAAAAAGTTCTGGCTATGAACGCATAGAATATAGACTTATATTCTAGTAAGCGTCATTTTGTATAATTTGAATGAATGCATGAGAAATGCAAAAATAAAAAAAAATGTATTTTTATAAGGGTTAGCACTAGGAGTAACAATTTCAGATACGTTCTCGCAAAAATAAGGAATCTATTACAAATCATCGAATAGGACTTTTAACTGCAAAACAGGTTATCTTAAAATTGGTTTTCCCCCTCGAGAATAACGTCTATTACGAGTTAAAAAATAGTTACAAACTGCGTTGCAGTTGTGAGGGTAAGTATTATTCTAAATTACGGAATAAAAAATAAACTTGTCTAAAGTTATATTAAAATTTAAACTTATTTTTAAACTAATGCATGAAAAACAATAAGTGCTTTTACCTACAAAAAAAAAGGCAGGCTTTCAAAATTTAGTTAATTCTTATATTTCTAAGTCTAGATTAGTTTAATCATATATATACGGCTTTTAAGGTTTTGTTCAAGAAAAAAACAATCTTAGATCTACAGAAAACTGTTATTATTTAATGGAATAACGTGACTAAGAAGTTCATGTATTTTTTAAAGTTGTAGGGCATGTGTTGATCATTCAACTCACTTAAACTTCCGGGAAAGAGAAACGTGGGAATGAATAGAACTTTTTTTAATTCATTAACACTAGGCAATGAAAGGAAAAAAATGAAATCCACCTTATTTTTTGCTTTTTTATGCTTTCTTTACAATTTTGTTTCTGAATCACTTAATTATCTTCAATCCTCTACCTTAAAGCTGAACACGACTCGTAAATAGGCATACGCCAGTTTTGATATTATATCATATACTTGGTTTGTTCCCGTTTTGCACACATTTGAATTTCAGGAATAGAGAAAATGTGTGCAAAATGGGAATTTGTCCAGGTAAGATGATTACTTAATTAGTATAGTCTATAGAACTTACGACTAAGACCAAAAACTTTCAGATTATTGTACAATTTTGTAAAATTAATAATTTTCTTTGAAATTGTCAATTTAAAAATATCTTAGCACAGTCTTTTAAAAAAGTTTAAAGTAATTTTCAATATAATGTTAATTAAAAAGTTATATAAATAATTAAACTTGGTCTTAAGTCGTAAGTCCTTTTGTAAAACTGGCCTCTGTCCTTTATATAGGGGTCTGCAGGTAAAGGAAATGGCGGACACATTTCTTTAAAAATTTACGAATCGTGTTCAGCTTTAAGTAATGCTGATTAAATGCTTTATAATGGGAAAAATTATATAAATATAGCTCTTTCATTTTAGTTCATCAAGTTCAAAATGCTGCAAGCTACTGGTCATTCAACAAAAAATTCCACAAAGATGGTCTATTTCAGCAAGTTATCAATGATATTGATTCTTAAATTATCTATTGTTGTGCACTCTGTACCGGAATCAGCATACCAAGTAAACACATTGTTTTCTGTGTCTATTGATAATTTTCCTCTGAGGAATATTGAGTTTGACGATCAAAGCGGCTCATTCCTTGTTAGTGGGAAAAATGTCCTTTATAAATTCGATACGGGAAAGTCTAGTCCGACAGTGACAAAAGTAACTGGCCCAAACTATACTTGCTTTTCCGAATCGGAACTGAACAAAAAGTACTGTGGAGACGATGAGAATATAGTTATGATTGCGACTTCTGATAGTCTTATAACGTGTGGTACTCTCTATGGTGGAATATGTGTAAAGAGGGAAAAATCGACTTTAAATGAGGAGTATTTAAGCTATGTATATCTTGTGTCTAATACAACAGTATCTGCTCTGGGAAAATTAGTTAACATTACGTTGCGAAATGAGAAACAACAAAAACAGTTGCTTTTATTTGCAAAAGCTCAAACCGACCTACCACCATATTCACCAGTTGATCTAGACCGAGTCCTTATATATACTGTTTCTACAAACCTAAAAGGAGGTTATTCTTACAGTAGTAATAATCTGAGAAGTGCCAACATTTTTGACTTGTTATTGAAATGGGATTTTAAAAGTAACACAACCGTTTCCCACAGAGCAATATTTGAAAATGACAAATTTGTCTTCCTTTTGTCCAACCAAAATTTAGAGGGTAAATTAGCCAAATTGTGTAAAACGATTGATGAAAGGAAACCTAAAAAGGTATATGAAAACATTCCAATTTACTGCAAAGATGACAATGAAAATTTTACAAGAGCTGTCTATGGAAAGTTTGTCATTTTATCAAGACAGCGTTATCTCGTCACTGCATTCTCAAATTCTGCAGAAAATTATGCTCTCTGTATATTTTCGGAGTCTGAGCTTTACGATGCCTTCTTAAGGTCAAGGCGACACAGATTTGGATGCCCAAAACACGATCTTAAACCCGCTGATATGATTTTTGGCACAACTTTAAATTTGGGTGGGTGTGTAAACATGTCTTTGGGACAAAATGAGGTAATTTTTGATTTTTGTGTTCTTTTTTTATATAATTTGAATATCTGCTTTTCATTTTCTATAAATTAGCATTAAGGAGAACACTAGCATTTGAGATCAAAATACATGTACTAAACTAACAGAGAAACAACAACAACAAACACTTCTGAATAAGCATTTCTTGAAAGATAAGGAAGCTCTAAACACTGCATATTAAAGAGCTACACTTATAGGGTATTTTTATACAGTTAGAGCGATCTGTCCCTAGAAGAAAGGTTTTAAATTTCGTAATTTACATATAATGGCATTATTTGTAATGAATCAAAATATTTCTTACATTATATAAGATGAAGAATAAGTAATTGAATTCATTCTTTTCAAAAATTTTCCCATTGTTAGTAAACAGCAGTGATTTCTGCTCACGAAATGCCTATTGTCTTTTAACATTTTGGAAATAAGGCAAGTACTCTGTTATAAGTAAATGAAAAAAAGTCTAAATATGCACACCTTTATATGATATATTTTTTTCTCCAAGTACAAAAAGCAGTTTTTGTTAGTGTTTATAGAGTTTCCTTATTATATATGACGTCTTCTTAGAACTGTCTTGCTTCAATACTATATATTTAAGGAATCACTGTCTAGTTAGTATAGTGTGCAAGAGCATCAACGATAGTGGGAAACATGGAATAATTTGCATAACGGGCGAAGACAGTGATTAATTATATTTTCATTTCATTATGAAATGAAATTGAAGATTTAGACTTTAAAAATGTAGACATATCATTTAAATAACACGAGGACTCGCATACCAGTCTCAATAGTCGCCGCTCACTGACGTCAAACACAAAGGTAGCCGTACGAGATTTACATGCATATTTGGCCCCCTTAGCTTCAGACACAGAGACAGATGCGCGCGAGATTTGCATGGATATTAGGCCTTCTTAATTCCTGACCTATTGACCTGCCTAATTTACATTCCGGTAGAATTATCAAGAAATAAACTCCGCTAACTTTCACAGAATTATCATAGAAAAATTAATTAATCATGAAAATATTCAGGCATGCCTCTCTTTTTCCTTCCAATATATTCAGAAATCTTTTAAGTTTTCATGTTTTTTTTTGTTTTTTGTTTGTTTGTTTGTTTTTTTTTGCAGTCTTCCTAAATAAAATTCTATTATATTTTAAAATCTATAGTAGAAATTTCTTCGAAATTCTCATTATAAATTATAATTTTCTTCCAATAAATAACTTCATTACAGTTATTTACAGATATACTTGGTTCCTATTTTCATGAATTTTGAGATGAAAAAAGTATTAAAATTGTTTTTTTTTCTATGTACAGGAACCTTTACCTGGCATATATGATGCCATCAACATGGGGGAATTTTGTAATGATGTAGCGAATGGGATACCGCAATTTGGGACAATAATTGGATTATTACGGAATAGATTAATCCACTCTTCCGTTTCCCTACTCTGCGCGTCCAGTGCGTCTTTGACGTCATAGTGGATCTCTTAGTTCAGTAAGATCATACACGGTAAAAACGGGTAGTATAAAATCATAAAAACGGGCCATAATATGTACATGGTAGGGTATTTTGTAAATTTCAGAACGCAAAAAATATTTTTACATGGTTGTTGACGGAAAAGTTCTGTGGGTTTGTCTTATTTCGCTTATTTCAGGAATGTGTGACGTCATAGTTGGGTTTTCCCATACTCGAGAAATGTGAACATGACACGTTTTTCTCATGATCATGACTCGTTTAACTTTGCCCCGTGCACTATTGAGCTCAGCTTCACCAATCGATATTTTTACAGTTAATCAATACAATGACGACCTTGAACTTCGACGTAAATTTTCAAATATTGAATGATAGGATTTTTTGCAAATTAATTTTTTTTATGGTTTAAGTTGTCCTAAAAAAGTCGTAAATTTCCGTCTCCAGATGTGGTGTTACAAAAGAATCTTGCTTTTTCGAATTTTTAATCCTATTCGTACTCTAAAATATTTTAAAAGACACATTTCCGCTGGTATATTTTTTATCTATGGTGAAAAATTTCAATTATCGACCGAGTAATGGACCAAGAAACACGGAGAATAAAAACTCCGCTCACACACTGTGGGGTATAGTATTTGTCACTCAATATCTCAGAAATAAGTCTAGAAACCTATTGATATGTCTGCTGTATAGTATGTAGGACATACTAAATATGATATATACAAAATATGACAAAAATTAAATGACAGGTATTTTTTCAGCTACAAGGTCCTTCATCCCCTTAAACAATAAAATGTTTTCTTTGTTTGTTATTACTGGGATTAACGGAAGCAGCTGTTGCAGAAAAAAAATACACCGTAATAACAAACAAAGAAAGAAATGTTATTGTTTATATTTATATCTGTTCAAATAATCATTAAATCTAGGATTAAAAAGATTAATTATTGTATTAATGATGCAAACATCTTTACACGTTTCATTGATGGAACAGCCACTGATCAAAAAATCTGTACAGCCGACATGCCGATTGTAGTTCATGCAGTGATTAACGCAATGAGTTTTCTTAAGAAATAAAGGAGGAAATATTCAGCGGATGTAAATATAAGATAGTGTTGGATAGCACATTTTATACAAAGCCTGTATTGAAAAAGCTTTGTTGTGCAAATTGGTGTCGTCAGGCAATCATATTACAGGAAGTTAAAATTTGCACCATACCCTCCCCATAAAAGAACAAAATTTTAGGGGTTGAAAAGCACAATCTATAACCTGGGATATAGTTTTGCTATTTGTGGAAAAAAAAATTATGGGATACATTTTAAAAGGAGTTTTTCTTTTCAGACATATTTGGACGAGGCACTTCAAGTCCACTACATAGAAGACATAAAGATTGACAATACCAGGATAAAATCTATATCTAATGTGAATGGAATACCTATAGTGCTGACAGAAAATAAGGTTAGTTTCAGATTGAGCATGATTGCAACACATTAATATCAGACGATATGTGTCGTCTTAACAGCAAATTATTAATTGATAACTGTTTCTTTATTATGTTGAAAATCCAATGAAATGCCTCATTTTTTGGTTATTAGCATGTTCATTTTGAAAGGAAACTTACTTTTGAATAAAATTCAAAATATTATTGCCCTCAATTTATTTTTATATTTTATACTATGAATTTTATCATCATTGTTTTAAGGATATGAAATTAATTGTCATCAGAATTTGACATACAATTATTAGTAAAGATATTCATTCCCAGTATAGTAACTTCATAAAAATACTTATACAAACAGGAGAATCATTTATTACCTGTTTCCTAAAAACAGGCATTTCATTTAGATGAATTTCTAGACTTGTGCAGAATTTGCATCACATATCTGAAATTTCTAAATCTTTGCATTATTTCTTTCGTTGATTTTCTTATCAACCGCCTAAGTTAACTGTAATGAAATTGATTTTTCTTGTAAAAATAAGCACGTTAAGCAAATTAAACATCATCAACTATATTTGTTATTGTAGATCGTCAACATAACTTCAGCAGGGTGTGAAAAGTTTGTTGGAAGCTGTAAGGATTGTATGCGAGCTAAATCTGCTCAATGTGGATGGTGTATATCAACAGAAAGGTATAATATATATATATATATATATATATATATATATATATATATATATATATATATATATATATATATATATATATATATATATATATATATATATATATATATATATATATATATATATATATATATAGATAGATAGATAGATAGATAGATAGATACAAGATATTTAAAAATGCATCCCGAATTGAATTGGTTAACCTCTTAAATACGCCATACCATGCACTTCATCACATAAAATCACTGATGGTATCTGTAGAAAATATAACAAGGCTCCATGAAATGTTTTTTTATTATTAACATGTGATAGAAATGAATAGATTTCTAATGTTTGCTTCATATATCGTAAATAAAGGTAAGGAAAAAAAGATGCTCGATTATTAAATTTGATGCATGACAGATAATTTGGTTAACGATGTGTCAGACAGATTGTTGTTTGTATCTTTATTTTTTTTTAATGAAGTGATTTCTATATTCCATTTTTACTATGACGTGTAATTGTAGCGTTTGAAACAATATGTTCCGATGACTTCTTTTTAAATATTTTAAATATATTGATAGATATATTTAATACTAATTCAATACACAGAATAACAATTAAAACAGTTCACATATTTCTTTTTAAATCTTCGGTTAACAAAAATATTTACATCATAATCGGTCTCTTGCCTAGGGATGAAAAATCTCACAAAAAAACAAACAAAAACAAAAAGAGTCAAATAGAAGCTGTGTTTGAAATGACAAAAGTTTACTTTACTTTACAAGAAAGGAGATAAAGATAAACTGTATCCGTATAAAACTACATGTAAATCCGAATTATATTTTCAATTATCGTGAAATACAATGAAATATTTATTCAAAGGTCAATGTCAGTGCATTTCAAACGATGGATGGTTTTAATATATGTATATACTATTGAATGTGAAGAATTTATTTTTATTTTTGTGAATTGTTGGATTCCTTTACATGACCTTTGTATAAACATACTGGCTACTTTATATATTAAGTATGATTGCAAAAAAAAAAAAATAAATAAATAAAAAAAAATAAATAATTTCTTTTTTTAAAAATAGAAAAAATCTAAATTAAATTAAAGAGTTCAATATATTTTTAGTTGCAGTGAAAGAATGGCGTGTAAAAATTACCCAAATTTTTGGCTTCCTTCTTTAAAGAACCAATGTTTGGCGATTGACTTAAATAGAAGTGCAATTGAAGTTGATTTATATCAAGTAAGACATTTTTAATTTTATACTTGTTAGATTTTAAGCATTTATGTCAAAATTGGAATATAGATAACGTAATAAAGGTTTTCTTATCATTCTTAAAAAAACAAATTAATATGTTTGTTCTTATATTTTTATATGTATGTAAAAATGGATGTTAATTAAGGTTTTCTGCCTGTCAGTCCACTGGGTTTCCGTTCATTGTCTTCGCAGTAGTTGCACATACTGAATGAAGCATATGGAGATAACGGAAAGTATTCAACATCAAAAGTTCATAAAACAATACAAAATAAGAGCAGAGGAAACAATTGCATAATTATATCATAATAACATTATATGTATATAATATACAATATATATAATATATCTTTTAGCTATTGTTACAGAAGAATACATTTTATTTCAATTTAGAGCCCATAACAGACAAGTTTGAGATTATTAGATTGATTCGTTATGTATGTTCTATTTAAAATTTACTTTTCATTCAGGGAAGTACATGTAGCATCGTTTTTGAAAAATCAACTCACCTCAATAAGCTTGAAAAGCGAAAAAAAAGGAAAGAAAAAAGAGAAAGTATTCAAACTCGGAAAAATACTTTTCGTATTTTTTTTTGGAGGGGGTCTAAATTCTTCGGTATAATCTTTTTTTTACTCACACATACTTCTGTCTGGGAAAGGTTGGGGACCCCCTCCATTGACTTACCCTGATTTTACATGTACGTGCCTGCAATTGAATACTTTTGAGTGATAAAGATATAAAACTTTTTTTAAAGATTTATGAGTTTAATATATAATGTGGGGGGGGGGGTGCTTTGAGATGGAAGGGGTCTGTAGAAATCGCAAATGCTAAATCGCCGATTAATGAAAGAATTATATCATTAAGCGGATTAGCATGTACACTATAATTGCAATGATTTGTGACATAAAGCGTTTCATAACAATGCTAAATGGTATTTGTAGCGGTTGCAACAGGGCTTCCGGGGGACAGGGGGAGGGGGTGTGTTGAATTCTCCCAGGAATATTTTGACGCCCGAATGGCTCTTAGTTTACTTCATCTCACCAACGGCAGCAGGGTAGTGGGTATGTGTGCGCATGACACGAGTGTTGTTTGGTTTCCGGCATTTTTGCGCCACGAGGATGTTCCTCGGACAGGAGTACAAAACTGGGAAATCTCTGTATGTGGTTGTAAACGACAGCGACGTCACTAAAGAGTTATGATTCCGGAGATTCTTAATTGTTCAAAAATATTTACAATAAAATTTGAATACCCATACTTCATGCACATGGTAACTTCTCGGGTCTAACTTAACGACAATGAGAACTTAGTAGATATTCCAAGATTGATATCACTGACAAAATTCATACAATATACATTATGTGGACAAATCATGATTCTATCGCCTTAATTTGCTTGATGCGTTCATTACAAATTCTTTCCAATCTTATTTGATCAATATTTGAAAGATATGAATCTAACTACGAGTATTTACATGTAATATTCAATAAAAGAGTTATACAACCATGTGCCCTAGTCTCTGCATGGGGGGACTTTTGAAAAGATGTGATTGTTTTTGCTTTACATATATTGTTTATGGTATTGTTTACGAATCTCTGTGTACCTTTACTTCGTGAAATTGTTATCTTATTGAAATGATTATAATTTGTTAGAGATAAAATTGTTTCGTGTTAATTAATACTGCATATGAACATGTATATTAAGAATATTTTTTGTGTTCGTTATTGTTATAGAGAATTTTAATTCATAAATATATAAATATAATAAAGAAAATAAACTCTTCACAGATATTTTTTCCAAAACGTTTTATGCAATTATCGATTTAGCAAAGACTTATGTATCGTAAAAAAAAAAATCAAAATCGCTATTTTAAAAGTACAGGAATTAAATCTAAAAGATGGTTTATTTAGTTAACACATACAAGAAAAGAAATATAGAAAAAAAAACTTAATATATATCTGAAAATTAACATATTTTGAAACATATAAATTTTGAAAGTTGCCGATAAAAAAATGATAACGTTATGTTTACATCGCGATGTCATGCCGTCAAGCACGACTTTTGCGGAATATCATGCCATTTTTAAGAGGCTCCTGACTAAAAACTAAAAGAGGTATTGGAGAAATTTAACCTGTTTTGGAAAATATGCATTATAGACATCTTTAGAAAAATCCCTTATTAGATTCAATCACAGGGCCTATTATAAACCATAACGACTCTTCTTCTTTGTTATACAGATTTATCATAAGAATATCTAAGTCATGTTCTGTTTTTTGTTACGATCGAGCAATACGAGGGACGTTCAATAAATAATGTCATCGGGGCTCGGAAAGAAGCAAAAGACGCTTTTTAATGATTTAGTCTTCATGATTTTACTTATTAATCTCTTTTGATTAAAATAGATGTCCGTTAAAGTTTTTATTTAATTTCTGATTGTATTTAGAACACATTTTTGGGTATGACCCTTAGTATACTGGAAAATAGCAGATCCAATGATTTCCTAGACTTGTTTTTTTTCTTTCTGAAAGGTGGTTTTTCAAGTTTGGAAATAGAAACAAGTCAAAAAGGTAAAAGATCTAGCGAATATTGTTAATGTGAAAAAATATCAACTTTCTTTTTATCCCCAGAACTCCTTTACTCTTCAGGGGTGCAGGGTTTGGACGCTGTCATGAAGAAATTTACTGTAGTGGATTCCTGATTCTAGGTCCTTCCTCTAATAAACCTTTCAATTTTTTTGCAAAAAGATTGCTTTCTAGACTCCTCCAAAAATTAAACTGTCTCCCCAGATACGAAGTTGAACAACAGTACGACTAATATTTAAGAAAGTTGCATATAATGAGAGAAAGTCTAGCTTAATGTCATATGATTTCCATGTTGTATGTCATCGAGCTAATGACATTATTTATTCAACGTCCCTCGTATCTGACAGAATTATGCAAAAATATTACTCCCTCTTAAAAAACACAAATAATATCATAGTAACTTGTAACTATTGCATAAGAAAATATAGCCATTTCATTATGTTGAAAATATTTTTTTAATGTAAGCCTCATCTTGTAAAAAGGGTTGTCGCCTTCTTATCTTCAATCAAATTTTTCCTTCAGAAATCGAACGTGACTGTGAATTTTATCCCTTCAATTACATCTACAAGAGATATGAAGTGTCTCATGGAAGAAATGTATCTTCTGTCATTTCAAGAGAAAGACATTTTGAAATGTTTGATTGATTTTAGTGTGATTAACCCAGGTGAGCCTTGAAAAATAGATAACGGTTATCAAAATGATAAAATGAAATATGATGCGATTATAAATTTGATTAAATATTGCTATTAAAAATGAAATTATAATAAATATATTTTTATTGTAGTTGATACTGGAGAAAAACAAATAAAAATTTCATTGGGGGAAAATATTATTGCCGTTACTAATATTTTGCTTTATCGATGCTCAGATAGGAAAAGGTATGTTTTATAATTCTTAAGCAAAAGGCTAGTTTTTGTGAATTTGTTCATTTCTTCAGAAAATTCAGAAAATGCCGCAAGACGGTTGTGGATAGATGGGGATATTCTATGGTATTTTTTTCTGTTAAGTCTTTTGAAAAAGCACCCTTGATTTTCATGTATTGTTTAGTTGAAAAAATCACTGGATTTTTTGAATAATTGGAAACCAAATTTTCTTATACATGAAACATAGGTATCTCGATGATTTTTGAAATGTATCTTCTTCGCACATAATTACTATAGTACTGCGTTAAACATAATTTATGGAGATAGCGAACAGTATTCAAGAACAGAGGTCCATAAAACAATACAAAATAGGAGCAGAGCAAACACGGACATCCAAAGTATCAGAGATGGGAACAGGTGCCATGGAGGAGTGAGCATCCCCAGCACACTAAATACAGGAATACACCTTGAATTTAACTTTAAAGAAATACATTAGTTCAGAAGGGGTGTATAAGACTGACTATATCTGGGATTAAATTAAGTTTAATGGTTGTTTTTGAGTTACAGCTGCTGGGATTGTACGAAAAATAAGAATACTAGATGTTATTGGTGTCCTTCTGATGCAAGGTGTTCAAATACTACAGCCAAATGTAGTAATATGGTAAAATAAGGCGAATTTTATTCAGATTTTCATTTTACGTATAATGCAATATAGGTATTATACCTGCATACAGGTAATTTTTTTCTGTTTTTAAGGTTGGTGTATCTAGAATAGAGGTAAGAATATATCATGCTTTTCATAATAAATTAAGCTTTAAACAATGTACACATTTTTTATTTAAAAGTTAAAGTATGGATAAAATGTCAAAAATAATTTCTTGAGCGAGAAAATTATTGTTTTAACTTATTTTAAATGGATAATAAATTGATGATGATTTCATAAGATTTCTTTTTACCTTATGAAGTCGTGCCCAGTGATCCTTAACAGTACACAGCAGATTCCATCTGGAAGCATCCTCAACATTTCTTTTCAAGGAAATGCTTTACAGGTAAAAATCCTCGAATTTTCTCATTATTTCACATTTTCAAATTTTAAGAACTGGAAAAAAAGGTTTTTAAAATACATTAATACTTGCTTTAGTTTTTCATACTAATTACATAATCCTATTACTCTTGGTATAGTTTCTCATAACAAATACTTAAGGTATGAAAATATATTTTATGATTTCTAATTTTCCTTAGAGTGATTTAGCATACCAGTGCTTAATCGACGAGAAAACCTTCAAATCATCATGGGACATTATAAGTAATTCACTCATTTGTGAGAATATACAGGTATTGAAATCTACACCTTCTTTCATTTGCATGTAAATTTTGAGTTCGATATTACAAAAATTATTTGTTTTAATTTTTAGAATTTTCAATAAGGGTGTTATATTAAAGAACACTTTGAAAATATCTCGTTTATTACCCCTTGAAAAAGATTCAATGTGTTAAATTAGATTAAATACTCTTCAGAGGGACTTTAGATAACAAACAAACAACCAAAAGAAAAAAAATCAAATTAATAGTTGATTGTAAATGTTTTATCCCATTCGATATTTTTTCTCTCGTATAGAGACGTCGCCATATACGATATTTCTAATTTAGACCTTAAAGAGGGTCACTTAGCAGAAGAATCTTTATCAGGTAAATACCTGCCGTTCCTAGGGACTGTTGCTTGACAATTCTCCTTCGAAAGGTTCGCAACTTTCACATTAGTGGGCTGATTATTTAGCGAAGAAACATAATATCTATTTTTATTGACCCAGGTCAGTCGAGGCCGGATATGAACTCACACTCTTACGAACATATAGCAAATACTTTAACAAATGAGATGCCGTCACGGTCTTCTTAATAATTAATGTACGTTTTGATACATGCTTTGTTAGAAGTGAACTCTATAATAAAATGTGGTGAGATGAAAAATATCTAAATGGGGATAATTTAAAATTATCTATGGAAATAAATAAGAGGATCATTTTCTTTGACTGAATGAACTGGTCACGGCAGTCAAGTCATGGGGAGCTCCTGGAATGCCTGGAATTTATTCTTGTTCACCGCGTTCCCTCAAATACCGGAAGACTCAAAAAGATATCAAATGTCTATTTTCTAGAACGGAGGTTCAAATCAATGTTCCATCGAAAAGACCTTTACACTCCGAGTTATGTTAAACGGTATGCGTTGGCACTATTAAAAGCTCCAACTACTCAATATCCTCGAGGGCCAAGTGCAGGTGTAACGTTGAAGTCCTTCAACTTCATGCAGTGACGTCTGTATATGAGTTCTATAATTTTAAATACACTTCTTGAAGGGGACTACTAAACAGTAAACAATCTATAATTCCAGCTCAAGGTTAGATAAAAATATCTCTCATGGATAAAAACCGTGATTCCGTTGAAAGTCCTTTCCGGCCAGTATGAGTGAAATATTCTCAAGAGGGACGTAAAGCATAAAGTTAATTTAGTAATAAAATAACCTTACTTATTCATCTCTATGCTTATGAATCAATGAATTCGAATAAGAATCACTTTTTAACAAGGAGAGTAAACCCCCCCCCAAAAAAAAAAATACAGACTTTTTTTACTTTGATGTTTCTCTAGCTGTTTGTTTTGAATAGATAATAATTATTTTGCCCTCAGATATCTTACATTGAAAAGACACCAACAAAAGAATTCAAAGTTCTTTTCAAATATGGTTCCAGTCTCCCATTGGTTACGCTAAATTCATTTGAAAAGGCAACAGTGCTATCAGGTATAATACATATGTAAAGAAATAAATTGGCAAAATACGGGGAGCTTAAGGATAGATGACACAAACAAATCTTGTCAAAAATTGTCAAAATAACAACTTGGGTCATGTTTTAAAGAATAAAATGAATAATTTTCACCGCGTAGTTTTTATTTTTTTTTTTATTCAAAATTGCACAAAAATGGAATTTGAAGAGAAAAAAGTATTTGTATAGAATAATATTGATGGTTTAAGAAGGGCAGCATTACAATTTTTGCAGAAGGTTTTCAGTTTCTTTATATTCTAGAAATTTATCATGTGCATCATTTGCAATGAAATTAGATTAAAAATTTTTTATACCAATCCAGGCTTCCATTTTTTGTTGATATCATCTGTCCTTAAGCATTATAATGATAAGAAGATTTCTGTGTAAACTTTTGTTATTTTGAATAATTTGTCTTTCAAACAAAATATTTTGCTGAGACAATGCAAAGTATCTAGATGCGTTTTAATAATTATTAGTTTTTTTTCTTCTTCCAACCTAGCTTATAAGTGTGAATACCTTTCTCCTGATGCGTCAGACTGTAGTAAATGCCAGTACTTAAAGTTTTTCAATGGATATAACTGTGTTTGGTGTGGGGAAACCAATGGTTGTGTGAATAATGAGAAATGTACAAAACCACAAATCTGCCCAGCACCCGTAATAACAAAGGTTTTTAATAAATTAAATAATAATTCGCTACAGCATCAAATCTAAATCAAGATACTCAGTAATAATTTCACATGCCAAGCTGCTGAAATTCTTGAAGAAATACTAATTTGTCAATTCGATTGGAACATTCATCTAGATAATTTTTAAGTCTTTCATAGCTTTTTGAATAATTCATCAAACTGCTTTTCACACTAATATTAATTCAAAAATTACAGATTCACCCTAGAAATGGTCCCATAAATGGAGGAACAGTAATTAGAATTGAAGGGAAGAATCTAGGATTATCAATATTAGATATCCAAAGCGTTTTTGTCGTCGGACGAAACTGTTCTAACATCAAATTTATAAATCAAAGGTAGGGCTTAGAGTTACTTTAAAGTGATTGATTATCAACCATTACGCATTTTTTTCAATATTGTGAAGACGTATTATTCGTAAATAGTTGTTTTATATGCTCAAAAGATATCAAAAGAAGTGTTAAGAAGAAAATATTTGCCTAATGTATCAAGGAAAAGAATGTCTTCTTGTCTTACAAAAATGTAGTTTAAAAATAACGTTCTTGAATAGAATTAAAATCTGAAAAAAAATGAAATTGTTCTTATGAACGAAAGAGAAATTAAGAATTGAACCCTAAAACGTTCACTCATGTACACAGATAGTAAGTATTCTTTGCTTTTCCTTTCAAACACAAATACGTTTTATACATGTCACATTAAGTTGTTGTATATTGCCATATACGATCAATGTGTTAATATATTTGTTTCATTATATAAATAAAGTATTTGGTGTACAACTGGTGATGTAAATGATACAATTAGTGGTGATGTGATGGTAAAAGTTTCTGGACTTTGGTCCGTAACAACTGTGAAGTTTGCCTATAAGGTAAGCCTTTATTTCAGTTTCACTTGTAGTACTATGGCGATCACACGAGAAACCTTACCATCATCTGAAGTTGTAACGTGCTTACGTCACCGTCACGGTTGGTTGGAAACCGTTCTTGTTTCTCTCTTAGAATGAAAAAAATGGTATTTGGTGGAAACTTAATATCAAAATGCACATAAAAATTTAGGCATTTCAAAAACCTAGACTTAATGTCACTTCCGCTAGCAGTACTATGAAAACAAGAAATTCAAATCAACTGTGGATATAAAGAAAAAACGATGTGCATCAAGTTGAAGTAAAATCTTTTATCAAGCCTGACATCATTGATAAGTGTTTTCGGCTTTTTACAAATTTTCCATTGTGACGTCAAACATTTCATGGTTGAATTAATTGTTTGAATGGTCGGTTTTAGTGCACCATACGTGTTTTCAGTTCCTAAGTAATAAATACTTTGCAGATGTTTTCTTGACTTTTTTCCCTTTAGTATATACAGGACTTTAAAGAAACCATGAAAAAGCCATTGTTTCTTATAATATGCAGATAATTAACTTAAACGTTGTGTGTAGCCAATATAAATTATTGCATGCACAATGCACGAAAAATTTTCATAATTTCAATATTCAAAACTCTTACTCTCCTTTTAAGAAAGCCTATCACTAAAACATAAAGTTAACGATACAGTTAAATCACATTTTCCCAAGGATAATTATAGATAAATATAAGTCCAATTTTTACAGTATACGTTTAAATGTTTTACTACCAAACTGGCATTTGTTTTCTATTATCGATTCTATCATCTGAAAACTTATTTTACAATGCAAAACGATTATTTTTGTTATATTAAATTCAATGCAGGAACCGAAGTTAACTGGCATCTCTCCTACGTCTGTAATAAAATCTGGTGGAAGTTCCATACAAATACATGGCCAGGACCTTGATATTGGAAACAGAAATTATGAAGTTACCTTATCACACTCACGAGAATCTGTATCATGTACCATGTAAGCATATACTCTACAAATACAAACCTTATATTCTTTATAAACATTTTATTCGTGAAGTTTACTTTTTGAAAATATGCTAACTTTTTTAGAGACGTAAAAGCCTCCGCCAATGGAACGATTGCTTGTGAGCCAGGAAAATTTTTCAGTTTAGGACAGCATTTCGTCAAAGTTGTGTTCGATTTAAATACTACGAAGACATTAGAAGGAAAGTTTTTATATGTACTTCCTGATCCTTCTATATATGGAACGATTCCTCCATTAAAGGATCTGAGAAGTATTGAAAGGTAGTATGTGTTATTATTATGTAAAATTTTCCGAGCCAGGATCAGAAAATTTAAAAATTAATTTAAATAAAACTTAACTGCATACTCTACACAAAGGTTAATACGTGCAATAATTAATTATTAGCAATAATTAAGTTTCCTTCTCAGCTTTTGATATTTTGTACTTTTATATAGAAATTCACAACAACGAAATTTCACTAAAGTGTTGTAGACAGGAACATTTATCGCTTAAGGTTCTTTTTGAACCATAATGAACATCAAATGATCTTGCAATGACTTTGTAAGAACTGGATATATTGGTAAAAACAACGAGCTTTACGATCAATTTAACAATACATAAACAAGTCCATGATTATAAACTTTGAAAAAATTACCTTTCAGAAGATTAATGTTGTTTAGATTTTTATATATGGAAATATGTTTTTGAGCTAGAACAAAAAAAAAAACTTTATTTTTTGGTCACCTGTGTAAGCTCAAATTTCTTGTTTTGTTGAGTAAGGCTTCCTCTTCCCAAATTGAGAATTTCATGGCCCCTCGGTCAGGGGCTCAGGTGTTAGGGCAGGGCTCTATTGATTATACATGTATATTGAAAATATATTAAATCTTTATAAATCTTTTTCTTAACTCTGGGCACAAAACAAATAAATTACATAAAAATAATGAGGGAGGATGCCACTCAAATTATTGTGAATTTCATGGGCCCAGGCTCTGGGGTTCTGGTGTTGGGAGGGGCTCTATTGATTTAAACAGGGTGTTCCATGAGCTGTTTTACTGTGTTGCTCCCGACATAGTAAAATTTTCTCCGACACAGTAACGATTAAATTTTATGCTTGCGACACAGTTAAAAATTTGCCGACACAGTAAAGATTTGTCGACACAGTAAGATATGTGAAAATCAGAAAATCCAAACTTATGAGTTCTCTTTAACTTAAACTTTAATCAAACAATTATACCGTCTTTCAATTCTAACAGGTAGAGCACTTACTAAGGGATTCACCTTGCGTAATCAATTATCTCCTAGACCTTCGTAGGACGTTACGCATGAAGGAACAAAGACAAATAATTTGTTTCAAACGTCTATGTAACGGTTAATTGGTAGCTGCATTAAAAATACATTGTTTTATTAAAAAAAAAAAATTAGATATGTCTTTTCTATAGAGCCACGACTCTAGAAATGTTGGTACTGTAAGTCAAACATAACATAGTACCAAAATCATGTAATAGATAAATTGTTTTTAATTTTCAAGGAACTCTAAAAAGTATTATACTGTTCGATAAAAAAAAAAGACAAAAAATCACAACAAATGACTTTCAAAAGTGGTAATTAGTTCGTGTTTTAAGGGTCCTCCACACCATGTGACCTGTGAGGTATATAGAGAAAAAAATCTTTTACTTCCGGTTTTATCGATGTTTTGCATGAACGATTTGGCCTAACACCGTTTGTAAACAATGAACACATGGCATGATCACGAAGTGACCGATGGAAATGGATGTGCAGGTTTTTTTAATAAAAGAACAACAGACGTCTTGGATTATGTTACATAATAATTCGTAAACAACAGGTATCGGTGGGTATGACCGGGGACCTAGTATGACGAGAAACGTTCAGCAGGAATGTTTACGAAACTTTCCTAAGATTGTTCATAAGAAATTTCCTAAGATATATCTAAGAAAATCATCGTAAGATTATCCTAAGGTGTTTTTCAAAGTTATCTTATGATTATCCTACGCTAAGACGTCTTAAATCATTATGACATAGAAATACTCCAAGCTTTTAACCATTGTCATGGATCAGAGAGTTGTATTTTTTTGCTATATATAATGCTACACGTCATGTCATCATAATGAAAATATTTAAAAGAGTGAAAATAAAAAAAAAGAATTTGATTTTGTTAAATTTATAAATATAAATCATATATTCTTAATTATTAATTATCTAAATTCGACGATACAGTAATATTGATTACATTTAAAATTAAATAGAGCGCCATTTGATCATTCAGAATACTTGAACGATGAAAAGATGAAAAGTGAAAAGTGCGTCAATTTACATGAGTGAATCGGAATGCAGCGCAAAATCGAAAGAACTGGAGGAACCCATTCCCCTCAAAGACTAAATCATTCGCAAGAAAAAAATGTGGTAATAAGTGGTTATACTCCAATCTCACCTATCAACACCTGTGAGGTCACCCGGTAAAACCCATATAATCTCTCTCTCTCTCTCTCTCTCTCTCTCGATCGATCGATTTTCCTAAGTTAAGACTTCTCAAAATCATTATGACAGAGAAAAAGAATTCTATTTCTCTTTCTCTCTGTCATAGGTAAAATTTGACTCATTGTATAATATTTAATGTCCCTCTCGAAAATCTTTCACTCATATGAAGACGCCACCACTTGCTTGTGGAGAGCTACAAATTTTGTCCTATTCTCGACACTTTTGGCCATTGGGCATGAAGGGATCTTTATCGTGCCTCCACCAACTGCGACACGGGGCCTCGGTTTACTAGTATATGATCTCATCCGAAGGACCTGTCTCCATGTCCCACAGTGTGATTCGAACGTACACGACTGAGACGTAAGGATCAACTCCTTACTCCGCGACTCTCTCAGGTTAAGTGAGATTAAATTTTATTCTGTTAACTATGAACGTAATTTAACATAGGGGAGGTCCAAACATACTATTTACATTTTACCATTGCAAATGTTCATTGAAAGATCGCCCCTTCCCCCTTTTTGTGTTGTATATAGTAAAATAAGGGTAATGTAGTAGTGTATGAGTAAAATTTGGCACTGAAAGAAGTTGGAACCTAGCCCCCTTCCTCCCCAGCACGAAATAAGATTTTCGTACAGGCACCTGACGATACTTGTTTTTCTTTATATAAAAAATTATACCCCTACCTAATTTTTTTTTTTTTTTTTTTTTTAATATTTAATACTTTATTCATGAAAATATGACAACAAAGATTTGGGGCAATGACATCCGCAGATGTCGCCCTATAATAACCCTCACTAGGGGTGCCAGGGGCTCCCTAGATTAGATAGCAAGATAATATATGTATGAAAGATGTAAAAGGTATTTAAATCAATAGAGTATAATATAATCAAATGGTATGTTGACAAAGTACGATAGCAAAATAATATATGTTTGAAAGATGTAACAGGTATCTAAATCAATAGACTGAGTATAATAAAATCAAAGTATTTATACAGATACAGATAGGAACATGATGTTGCTATGGGGAACACATAAAAAAACACTGTCCAACACACCCCTTAGCAACATGTATAGAGGGCCAGGTCACCCTCATATACACCAAATATAGATTATACATGTATAAATGTATACGTACAATAATTACAAGTTTATTGCCAAAGATTTTAAAATATGAAAATTGTATGTGATGCTTAGGGATCGTTTAGTGACAAAATAGAATTTCATAAGAGCATTTTTCAAAAAGATTAACATGTCTTCACTTGTAATATTATTTTTCATAATTCTACATTTCATTTTATATTTAAATATTTTACAAGCAATAAATGATAAGACATTATTCAAAACAAAAGTATTGTAGTTGATACCATGACTAAAACCCACAACAATATTTCTCCAACTAATATCTATACCTATGATTTCAGAGACTTTGTTCCATATTAATTTAACTTGAATGCAATCAAAAATCAAATGCTTAGAATTCTCTTCACTGCGACATACTGGACAATATTTATCAATATCTTTATTCCATTTACTAAGATAGAGATTATTCGGTAATAAATTATGTATTAGTTTATAATTAAATTCAGCAACATTTTTATCAAGAATTTTTCTAATTTTTTCCTCATATACGTATTGCCATTGATTTGAGTAGTTGATATTAAACTCTTTTGACCATATAGTTTCCATAATCGGCTTTTGAGACTTTTGTTGCAACAAAATTTTATAGAAAAATTTTGATGTTTTGTCTTCAATGTTTTCTTTTTTATCATGAAATTTAAAGGAAAGTGAATTACATGTGTCGTTAATATTGATGAAAGAAGTATTACTCGAATTTATACCGTGCCATTTACTAAAGATTGTTTTAATTACTAAGTATTCACAAAGATAGTTTTGTTTTTTAATAAGTTTTTTCTGAATTTCTGTCAGTGATTTGAGTCCGTTTTCATCAAAAAGATCTTTTACATATTTAAAACCACTTTCGATCCAATTTTTGAAATAAATAATTTTTCCTTTATATTTCAAATCCTTGTTAAACCATATATTTTCACGTAAAAGTTGGTTTGATGCGCTTTATTTCAATATGTGCTTTACACTGATTAAACAAAAAACTTCCTTACAAAAGCGAGGTAACTTATAGAGTATGTTGAAGTCTGTAATATCAGTAATATTTGATCGTACAATGTAGGGTAAACTAAGCCCGTCTTGCACTAAACATGCATTTAAAAGATCTTTTAGACTACTTTCAGTATTTATTATTTTGGAAACCCAAGCCGCTTTAGATGCCTTTACTTTCGTTTCAAAATCAATAATTCCTATTCCTCCATTATTAATTTCGCGAATGAGTGTATTTCGTTTAATGCGTTCACGATTTCCCCAAATAAATGAATATATTAATCTATTTAGATTTTTAATAAAATTTCCATCTGGATTATCTAAAACATTAGCCGTGCATATGAGTTTTGATAAGATTAATGAATTGATTATTTGACATTTTCCAAAGATAGTAAGTTTCCGTTTTCTCCAAGAGTCCAGTATTTTTTCAAACTCTTTGAGTTTATTAAGCCATTTTTTTTTCATTACATGCAGTTTTATCGTTTCCGATGTATATGCCTAAGCATCTTATTGCTTGACTGTTAATTTTGGTTTTACAAATGTATGATTCCTGTTTAAATCTATCTTTTAGTTGTCCTAAAAGGATACATTCAGTTTTTGATATGTTTAGTTTTGTACCAGAAACTTTACCAAAGTTTTCGATTATTTTTAATGCATTTTCTAGTGATGCTTT